CACACACACACAAACACACGTCCGTCCATCCATGCACATCCATGCTATCCCATTTGCTCTGCCAGATAGACTGAAAAAAAAGTCTCTGACTGGCTTGACTGGGCTGGCAGAGCGCCCCAAGCATTGGTATGAGTAAGGATCGGCCTGGTTCCGTTGGGCGCCGCCGCGGGTCTGATCGCCGTCGCCTTTCAGATTTTTAGGGCGCCTCGTCTCGAACGATCTGAGCCTTAGATTCGTGATCGCTACATAGGGCTCCGGCACCCGCCGGTTATATAGTGGGCTTATGATCCCCCTGGAACTTGTTCGCTTCGTCATATTTCACGGATCCCTACTTCCTAGCACGGCACTTGGCTATTTCCATCTGAACGGTTGCCATCGCCCTCTACTCCATTTACATCGGGCACCCATCGACGCCTCACGTCAACAATAAACAAAGACACCTACTTACACGCACATTCACTTACGCATACAAATACCGATACACACCAGCACTTCACTTCACACATACATACACACACACACTCACTCACTCAGACACGCTGCCTCTACTAGTTACTACGTTCATCCCATCACACAAAACTTTGCCCAACATGTTCGGCCGACAACAACGGACCCAGTTTTGCAAACGAAGCAGCTCTGGCAGCTCGTGGCCCGAGAGCGACAGCGACGACGACATCGTCATCCGCCCTTGCGCATCCGACGAGAAGGCCGACGCCTCGGTCACCATGACCGAGTATGTCCCGGCGTCGACCACCGTGGGGGTGGAGCAGCCCACCAGCTCGCGGCCATCCCTCACCGGCCGCCGCTCCTCTGCAGAGGACGCCAACCTCGAAGCCCTCTGGGAATGCATGCTGGAACTGCAACAGAAGTACCACTGCTACAACTCGACGCGCATGGAGATTGCTGCCGACAGCGAGGATGCCATGGGCATGATGCGTAAGTAACTTCACCATCCGTCGCCCGGGACTTCGCACAGCAACTAACATGATAACAGCCACCAAGTACTGCATGGACATGCTCAACGACTCCATCGAGTCTCTCCCCGAGGAGGGCTGGAAGAAGCTCAGCAAGTTCCTCGTAACAGACTTTGACACCTGTCAGAAGTCGCAAAAGTGGAAGTTCTGGAAGCATGGCTAGGGTCGTGGCGTTGGCGATTTACGTGTTCTTCTTCATTTCCAGCGATGCGAAGGGTCCCGTGGCTCTGGTTAGAATGATACCCCTTTTCATGCGGAACAACAAAAGTTTTGGGTTCTTTTGATTTGGCGTTAGCGTTCCGCCGTTGGTTGATCAACGGCGACGCGGGATTGACATATTACACTCTCATTATCTAAATAGCACACTTATTAATCTTGTAGAATGGTCGACATTTACCTTCAAAAAAAATCATCATCATCATCTCGCAAGCAATGCTCACCTACGACGATCATGCGGTGAGCCCCTAAGGCACGACGCTGTCAGACCAGACGAGCCCGTCTCACTTGATGGCCAGGGTGGCTCGGTGCGGGGTGCTGGTGATCTCGGCATTAGGCGTCACTCGCCGGCTCCGATCCCGGATATTGAACGGGGATCGTCATGGGGTGCTTACGACTGTGACACGACGTGCATGTGGCAATGCATCTTGGGATCGCCGCCGGGAAGACATGCCCGTGAGTCAGAAGTGTGTGACATGCCGGCGCGATGTGACTTGGGGTACATGAAATACCGAATCTGGATGGCTGGGCTCATCACGCGACTAACAGCGAACCTTATCGGTTACCTCGGTGGCATCAATGGATGATATGATTTGGCTGATTTAGATGCGGGTAGAACCCGGCAGAAGACTACCTTTCACGAAGGTACCATGAGATGATGCCACGAAAATAGCAGCCCGCAACTAGGCAACACGAACGGCAAGCTCGGTTACACAGCCGCTGCGACCTCGACGGGGCCGTCAGGAAGCCGGCTAGCAGCGATATTACACTGCCGGAACAACCGGACCTCGTTTTCCGCAAACGCACCAACGACAGAATGGATTACCCCGCGGTTGTGAAAGATGACAAAGTCGCCCTCCTCCCAGTCATGCGGGTACACGTATTTGGGCGAGATACCCGGGCGCTGCAGCCGGTGCACAGTCTCCCGAACCTCGGCCAGATCCTCCATCACGGTCCCGTCTGCCAAGTGCAGCCTCCGCACGGCCGAGGGGTGGACCTGCAACGCCAGCCGGCCCGTGGCGGGGTTCCGCCAGCACATGGGCAAGACTTGTATCTTTTCCTCCTCAATAGGCGGCAGGTCGGTGAGCGGCACCTCCTTACCCTCTGACACCAGTCCGAGGCCGTCGGAGCGGGACTTTGCGCCGCTCATCCAGACGTAGGGATGCGGGGCGTACTCGACCTTTGTCGTGCGGACAAAGTCCTGGTCCTCGGGGGAGAGCTGGTCGTACATGGCATAACCGGAGACGAAAGCGGTGGTGCCCAGCGGCACGCTCATCTCCTCGCCCGTGCCGTCGTCGTAGCGGAGCGTCTGTTTGCGACCACCGGGGACGCGGACGGCGAGGAGAGTAGTGGCGACGGGCGGCGCGAGGCCGTAGAGCGCCGCGTCAATGTGCCAGCGATAGAAGCGGGTGAAGTCCAAGTCGTCCTCGGCCGGGATGGTGGTGGCATGGAACGTCCGGTGGTGAGGGTGCCTAAGTTGTATGTTCTTCAAGCCCTCGTATTCCTCAATGAAGCCGTTGCCAATGACTTGTACCTGCGGCTGATGGGGAATGGTCTTGAGGTCAGGACGCAGAATGGAACGCTTAGCGTCGAGGGTCTTGCCATGCCCGTACGAGGCACCGGCCTCGGGATCGAATCTTTGCGTGATCTCAAACTGGGCTTTGGGGGAGGCATGACTTTGGTTCTTGATGACAATGACTTGGTGCTTTAAGAGGGCATCACGGATCACGTCGAAATCGGCGTCTGCAAACCGTCAGCTACTGGCCCGGGCATGTAAGTCTCGAGACTGAAGCTTACCAAAGGAGGTTACCGATTCTACGGGTAGTCTCCCACTAATTATGCAAAATCATTGCTTTCATCATGTTCCGCGTTTCAATGTAGTCTTACCGGTGAGTTTCTCAATGTCAACATTTGTGACAACAGCCCCGAAATCAATAGCCGAGTCCTTGGGTGGAACAATGGGCTGGACGGTTACCCGAGAAGGGGTCTGATGGATGGCCATGTTGTGGGTGTATTGTTGAGAGAAGGCGTTCAAGTTGTCTCAAAGGGGAATTTCGTGGCGCGGTTTCAGGTACAGCCGGTTTTCAACTAATTTCTAGTGCAAGAATGAGAAGATGGAACTTCGGGCTTCCTTTGTATATAAATGTTGTGGCAGATAAAAGTGGCGGCCATTGTGGACGGCCGGAAGCCGCCGATAACCTGCGCCCGGTTCCTCGGATTGCCCCGCTCTCAGACCCGGTCATTATAGAGGGCTTGTGATAAAGCATTGAAAGTGAAACGATGACACGTGCATATGGCTCACACAAACTACGAAGAATGAGCGCGATAAGAGATGAAGATTCGCTGACAGCTATCTATGAGCGGCCAGGCAATGAATGTCCCCAGCATTCGTCTTTCCATTCTCGTGGCTGAAACGGGCTATTTCGGCCTTACCGTTGTAAGACCGAACCGCGATTTGATTATCGCAACCCATCTAACCAGTGTCCGCCTCGCCCTTGGCCTGCCACGAGCCGTTGTGCGGAAATACTAGCATTTACCCCTGAAGTGGTGTGTGTTCTCAACGTGGGCAATATTGCGGGGGTAATCGTATATACGACCGGACCGTCTTCCCGAATGAGCCGCTCCGAGAAGACTCGGTCGCTGCTGTTAAGCCGGCCCGTCCGCATCGCGGCTCCGAGGGTGTGGGAAGTCTTACGCACCATTGTTCAGTGCTGCCGTGGTGGTGATAGCATACTGCAATGGTGCTCGCAGCTTCATGTTGGGCTGGGTCAGTGCGGTAGACTCGCTCATTAGGGTCCTTCGGTGCCAGCAACGAGCAGCGACTGGTCGACCTGTGGCGACTTGGTAGCCTCTGATTGATTTGTGCCATGGATCTCGTGTCGAGAAGAACAGTGTCCTTCATCAGTGTTTCTTGACCTTGTCCATCCACTCCTTGGAAGCTTTGGTGCCGTCGTGTGCCTTGCGAAAGAGAGCGCGTTCCCACTCGTCCAGGCCACGAAGAAAATCTTCGTTGGAAGCGCCGATGCCGTCATCGGCGCCTTTCCTGGCATGCAACGCGATTTCTGTTGCCCGCATCACAAAGGTCTTTCGCATCACGTCGCTGAGCTCTCGCTCGTCGAACAGATCCAAGATGCGCGTGCCGAGGCCGTAGAAGTGGGCGCTCTGGTCCCTAACCGGAACAGCTCGCGCATCGGCTTTTAGGGCCTGGACAACCTGATATGATAGCGCGGCAGGCAAGTTCAGGGTTACCGGTGCTTTCGACTCTTCGGCGGTGCCCGTGTTAGCGAGAGCGAGCATCTCAGCGAGCCAGAGCGGCAGTGCAATCTGCGTTCCTGCCTTAAGAGCATGGGAGGGGTTGTTGTCGAGGTATCCGAGGTCGGCGACATCGAGTTCGAATTTGCAGGGAACTTTCTGGGAATTATCAGCTTCGGCTGCTCATGGACCATCGTTTGGAGGAAGTGCTGCTGATGCGCGCTGATGTTTGGTCTGAGGAGTTTGCGTCGTACCTCTGCGTCAGTCAAGATAGCGTCGATATCGTAATAAGACATGGCGACTTTTAGGCAGGCTGTCGCCTTGTGCTGTTTGCTGAGTCGATAGTGTTGGCAGAAACAAGGGCGGCGTGGTGATCTTCCTGGCGGGGAAGCTTGACGCGTCTGGCTGTGAATGCACACGCGATTCCAGAATCAAGCGTCTCACCCCGCCATGCTGAGGAGTATCTTATCACACACACACACAAGCCACATGTGGCTGAGAGTCTGTGGCAGTGTAGTGCACATGGGGCGGATGTCTCAAGAATATTCGAGGGCGCTGCGCGGAATCTGGAGGTAACAGCTCCCCACTTTTTGTGGATGACGACATTCCCCTCTCATTCGCAGAAGAGCAAAGAAGGTGCTGAAGAGGCTCTTTCCTGGAGATCCGAGCTTCCTCACGTAATAGCCGAGCGAGCAACTGAGCAAAGCGTACCTCTCGCAATTGACATCATCCTGATTTGCACCACCCGCCGTTAGTCAACTTCCGTTGATCTCAAGGTACTTCTACTGCTGCATTCCCGCACTTCCTAATCAATTGTTTCTGTTCTAATTGACTTCAGTGGTACTTACATACAAGACATAGGAACACGAAAATGTCGTCCGCTCTCCTCCGAACCGCTCCTGCTCTCCGCGCAGCTCTCCGAGCTGGTGCTGCGAAGCCTGCTGCCGCTGCCATGGCCAGCACCAGCTTTGTTCGCGGCAAGGCCACTCTGCCCGATATGCCTTGTGAGTAGCGCCGTTGATTAGCAACCTCTGGATGCGTAACAATCGCGCTAACATTGGCCCCTCGCTCAGACGACTACGGCGCGCTTGAGCCCTACATCTCGGCCCAGATCATGGAGCTTCACCACTCCAAGCACCACCAGACCTATGTCAACGGCCTCAACACCGCCCTCGAGACCGTCGAGGACGCCAAGGCCAAGGGCGACTTCTCCAAGGCTGCCGCCCAGGCGCCTTTGATCAACTTCCACGGTGGCGGCCACATCAATCACTCTCTCTTCTGGGAGAACCTGGCCCCCGCCAGCAGAGATGGCGGCGGTGAGCCCGACGGCAACTTGGCTGTACGTTCACCTATTTCTCGCAAAGCCTAGACAATGCAGATCTGACATCCTCCACAGCAAGCCATCAAGAAGGACTTTGGCTCCTTTGACACCCTGCGCAAGCAGATCAACACCTCCCTGGCCGGCATCCAGGGCAGTGGCTGGGCCTGGCTCGTCAAGGACAAGACCAGCGGTACCCTCGGCGTTGTCACCCGCGCGAACCAGGACCCTGTCACCGGCAACCTCGAGCCTCTGCTGGGCATCGACGCTTGGGAGCACGCCTATTACCTGCAGTACCAGAACCGCAAGGCCGAGTACTTCGACGCTATTTGGAACGTTGTCAACTGGAAGACTGTTGCCAAGCGCTTTGAGAAATAGGCGACGAAATAAAAATGTACGATAGCCTTGTAGACGCACACATCTAATGGCCACTTGATTTAACAGCGAAAGGAATCGTAAAGAATCACTCAAAACTACACGTTGCAAATACAAATAAATAATCTTGACCATCTCACGGTATCGGCAAGAATCCCACATCCGACCATTTGTTGCCATCGAAATGAACGTGCTTCAGCTGTCGCTTCACCTAGAAGGAGCAATGGCTTAGATCGTGCGATGCCACCAGAGGAACCTGCGGGACCTTGGCCGAGCTGGCCGTCACACAAGCGAGTTGTGTCGGGTTATTAGCCCCCTCAAATACGGCATCCGTTTCCGGCCCTTTCCAGCCCGTCGTGTCATCCTCGTACAAGTACGATATCTTGCCGGTCTTGGAGTCTTGGTACAAAATCCATGTGTTCAGGGCACCCGATCCCCCACTTCCCGAGTCGAGTCGTGCAACGGCAAAGCCGGCCATGGTGAAGTTTGAGTCCACAGTCCCCAGCAACTGGCCCGAAGATGTGACTTTTTGGCCACCGGAGGAGCGGTCGTAGTTCTGCAGCCTTCCGTCGGTGTCCCGATAAATGATTCTTGCGCTCGATGATGTTGTCCTCTCGCCAGCCGAGCGAATTACCTCCCTGGGAAGAATCACGAGCGCCGAACCGGGGGAGGCTGTAATGCCGACTGCTGTTTGCTCTTGGAATTTCGGCGCTTTGTATTCGTAGAACACCTCCACGACGTCTCCGTTACTGGCTTGGAGAAGGGTAGACGGCCAGTATGCCGCTATCTGTGTGCCGGTATTGCTCAGTGTATACCCCCCCTCGCTGACGCTATCAGGGAGGCCTCCTCTTGAGAAGCCCTCACGCCAGTTGACGCCGAGGATATTATCAGGCGAGCCAATGTAAAAGACTTCGGTTTGCGGTATTTCCGGCAATGCCTTTTATGCAGCCAAACCGTTAGCGAACTGTTTTCCGTTGTGGGGGGGATTGTAGCATACACACCTCGGTTGGCTTCGTCCATAGCTGGCTCACGCCAAAGGGAGAGTTGAGCTTGGGTGCTGGCTTTAGTTTGCTACAACTCTCCACCCAGCTATGCCGCCGACGACTCCTCCAAGAACCAAGACGACCAGACCGCCGATACCGAAGAGCAGCTAAGGAAAGCGTCTGCCTCGGCCAGGTTGTTGTGCGCTATGGACGCCGTCGTGGCGACCTTCGTAAGCTTCGTTGATCCCAGCAGTGTTTGATGCCTTGTTGTTCCCCACGAAAGCACCATTCGGTTCGGAGATGGCCGCGTAGCTGTGTCCGGAGCCGTCATGGAACGGCGCGGTCCAGTGACCCGTTCGGCTGTCGACAACAACGGTGTCCGTGTCGTAAGTATTCCTCACTTCGCGGCCTGGCTGCGAAGCCCGTGCTGATGGGTCCATTGTGCAAGATCAGGTTAGCCTTGGGTGTCGGAGACCAGTAATGACCTATATCAATGCGAAATCATGGCTAAAGGCGCGATATAGTAAAACAACGGCACCGTGAAATCGCGGGGCCAAGAACAAGCTAGCTAGAGGCAGAGCCTGCAACAAGTCTTGATTATGTATCCGTACATACAGGGGCCATCTTCACCCTCCCTCGGGTAGAAAGCGGATGCCACTTCGGCTAACTTATATGGGTGGCCATATAAGGATCCTGCTGACTGCATTTTCCTTTTCGGTATCATTGACCGAATTTCCTTGCCGATGTTCTTAGCTATGAGAACAACCCTGACGGGCCCCCAAATTTGACACCACGAGTCGGCTGAGATATGCTCTTTATAACTATGTCACTTCACCCTCAATACGAGCTACGTAGGGTTCAAGATGATTGAGAACGCGCCTTTCCTTCAACAGACCGATGCTACAGGCTTAGCTTACTGTTTCCTCCGTGTTCTGGCAAGGGAAGCAAGAGCTTATTCAGTGTTCAAGACTGGCATGATCCGAGTGAGACTGGTAATTACTGCATATTGACACAAGGCAGGCTCGGAGGACGGCGTCACTTCATTGGCGTGAGGGATTGGGGACGATGCCAAGGAGCGGCGCAGGATGGTGCCTATTCGTACTGGCTGTTGATTCGGTACGGCAAGCTCTCATGAAAACACCAAACTCCCCTTTCTGCGCAAATTCGGGACATGACGAAGGAACCAGGTGGGTTCACGCGCCCCGTTTTCGACTGCAGTCGGATGGGGGCTAGGGGACGGGGGCCATGTCCATCACGATATTGTTGCCCTAGCTTGCGTCCTACATTAGCGCTGGGGCCAGGTTCTCGGGACTGTGCCTCATAGTGCTGAGCAGTCAGACCTTGGCCAACAACAAGGCAGCTACGTGAGCCACATGTATTCGTAGTCAACAGTGGTGATTAACGAGGCTTGTTAGAGGGCGTATTCTCTGCCCGTCATGGCTGTGGCGCGTAGGCTCCAGACCCATGCTTGTTAGAGTGGAGTGTCGGTTTCCCAAGTCGGATCACAAATGAGCAGATCTTGATCTTGTCATATCTAGCCCATGGTATCTCAGGTAGGCAGCAAGGCAGAAATCGTTTGTAAACGTAGACCGCCACTTCAAGACTTGTTTTCTCTTAAAGCATCAGTATTTGGTACAATGTCTCTCGTAATAACCAGCCAGTTGTAGTTATGAAGTGCTACAGGCAGAACAAGCTTGAAAACAGTTCAATTGAGCTTACCGTTTACGCCTAACTATCTTGTGAAGCTCCCTAATCATACTGTTGTACAAGCTCGGCAGCTCATTACGCTTGAGGAATCTTCTATCATTCCCAACGGTGGATCTTGATATACTAGTTGTCCTGGCATCTAAAACATGTCTATGGAACCCTAGAAGCATAAAAAAGACACAGGGGTTAAGTATTTTAGCGTTCAGTATTATACCCTTAGACAGTCTCTGCAAAGACGTACCCACTAGATGCTAGTTGTGCTAGGTAATTGAAGAGGAGGCAAATGCTTTGATATAGGACATTGTGATTCTTCCCAGGTCACGCTTGAGGACCATACGGTTGCCGCCCACCTGGTACATATTACATTTGGTTAACCGGGCGTCCTTGATAGTAGTATCACTTTCACACGAATAGTGGAACTTTGGCTGCTGCTATCTGATTCAAACTGTCTTGATGTTACATACAGTCAGTGATCCACCACTGTTGCTAAAGCTTCATATAGTATAAAGGCAAGAGGTTAAGGCATGTATAGCTCTGTTCATAGTTACAGCTTCAGCATAGATTGTCTTCCCTCCTTTGTCGTAAGACGAAACTGATACGGTATACTACAGCTTCCGAGTTGAACTGACTAGTCCATACCATAACGCTTGGCATTGCCATGGTTAGATTGCACTATTCGCGGTTGTAAGAGCCAACAGTGTAACAAAACTCATAAGATCTTTCGCTCGTAAAGCTAATCTCAACGCCGACTTCGGCTATTGGGGGTGGCGTGCTTGGGCAGAGCCCGGATCCTCGGACCAAAATGAGCCAATCGGCCGACTTAACTGAACTAAGTCCGTTAACTTGGTGAACTCTGAATATGTGTGATTGTGTTGAATGGGCCCGTACATGCATGTACTCAAACGTAGAGGTGAAACAAAGTATTATTCTGTGACTAGCCTTCCCAACTATAAGTTATCGCTGACGTATGTTAGTTATGTACTCGGCCATATGTTATTGAGTCAGTTCGGTCCGTTTGTATAATAATTCCTACCCGAGGTCCGAGTGTCCAATCTGACGAGCTTTATCCCTTGTGTACTGAATCATGGGATGTCGTACGGTTAGGTGACCTTAATATCCCAACAGGTTGAGATCTAACGCCGACACCCGTAATTCATTCTAATAGGGAGATCGAAACCATGCCAGGTTCAACATCCCACCTCGGAGATATTCCTTGCCCCAGCTACCTTGTCAGCCATGAGTAGAAGCCTTGGTTTGTAGGCTCTGTTCATTATGCTACCCGCTTTTTAAGCTCAGTGTCCAAATCTTGACTCGTCTTCGGCTTTGTGTTTGTACGCTCGACATCTCCCACACAATATTTAATCAACAACCTGTTTATTTCATGGCTTCACCATGAATATTTTCATTCCTCGATATCGACATCGCCCCAAGCTGCTCCATCGCCGAAAATCATGTTGAAACCAATCAAGAATGTTGTTGTCCTTGGCGGCTCTTACGTCGGACTTGTATGTGCTACCATCGACTACAAAGATCAGTACGGTTCCTAATGCTGCAGGTGTAGGGCGCCGTCAAAGAGCTAGCAGCATCATTGCCAGCATCTCATCGCGTAAGATACACTTGGATCATACTCGCGGTGAATGCTACTAATATATCGCCATCGTCTTCATAGATCTTGCTCGTTGAGCCGCACAGCCATTTCCACCACCTTTTTGCTTTTGTAAGCCATCATGAGAAAGCCCTAGGCTAGTTGCATTGCAGAGATCATTTGATTAATGGCTTTCCGCTAGCCTCGCTTTTCTGTTCTGCCAAACCATGAACACAAGGCTTTTATTCCATACACCGCGATTTTCGCAAGGTCGTCCGACCCGTCGCGGCACCAAGTTATCCATGCTCGTGCCCATTCCCTCCATCATAACAGCGTTGTTCTTGATCGGGACTGGCAGGGGTCGACCGAAATTCCATTTGATTACCTTGTCGTCGCCACAGGCACTCAGCTGCCGGCGCCCGGCACCATGCAACATGACGACAAGTTATCTTCGATCAAGTATCTTCAATCGTATCAGGGATCGGTCATCAAAGCTTCATCTATTGTCTTAGTCGGAGGCGGTGCCGTAGGTGTTCAAATGGCGACCGATTTGAAGGAGCTCTACCCTGACAAGGAGATCACCCTTGTGCATTCTCGCGATTGTCTGATGCCTTTGTATCACAGCAAATTTCACGAGATCCTCAAATCTCGATTTGACGAATTGGGTGTCAAGTGAGGGAACCCTACCCACCTGTAGTGCGACGCTGACCTTCGAGACTACAGACTCATCACTGGAACGCGCGCCGTGTTTCCTCCTGTCAATCTCGATCAAGACGATACAAAGGTTGTCTTGAAGCTCACAAATGGTCAGGAACTTGTAGCCGATCTTGTCATTCCTGCAACAGGGCAAAAGCCAAACAACGAGTTCATCCAGACTCTCCAGTCAAGCAACGGCGATCCTATATTGAACCCATCCAATGGGGGTATCAAGGTCCTGCCTACGCTTCAGTTCAAGGATCCGGCGTACCCGAAGTTGTTTGCCGCTGGTGACATTGCCGATACGGGAGCACACAAAGCTGCTAAGCCTGGCGTGGTACAGGCGCAGGTGGCTGCTCGGAATATTGTCGCCATGATCGAGGGTCGGAGTCCTGTGGAAAGATTTTCAGTCAGACCACCGGGAATCCATATGTCTATAGGACTGGTAAGAAATGTGAAACGATGTTGGCGGACAATGCTGACTTGCGTATTTGTGCCTTTCTAGAGAAAGAACATGAAATTCTTAAATCCTAACGTTGAAGCTGGGGAGACGGAGCCTACCGTCATTATGCGAGACGAGTAAGTCATATCTGGTGAACCCAGTAGATCCATCACTGATTAGTATTCAGCGGTAAAGAGGATTTGGGTATCGAACGTGTCTGGAAACAACGGGGCATCAATGTTACTGATCCGAGGGACTATCATTTGTAAAACGATGAGGAGCGAGACGATCCTGTGCAGAAACATCTGATTATCACTAATCAGAAAGCATTGGGCACGGTGACCACTGATCAGAAATGACCACATTATGATCGCTTGTCAAAACTCACCCCATAACGATCACTAATCACGGTCCAATTGCGAAAGCCTCTGTTACTTATGTTGCAACTCGATTGGTAATTGGACTTGGGCTTCACATGGAAAGTTTACAGCTCAGTCAAGGCGATGCATCACCAAATTACAGTAGATAAGAACAGTGGTATTCCATTCAAAAGGTTCCCCAACTCATCACATAACATGACCGTGCTTTTCGCAAATCATATTATCCCAGATAACTAAGATCATCATCTTCAATCACCACAACCCCAGATAAAGAACAATTACCAACCATGGCTCCTCGACGTATTTTTGTCATTGGCGCTACTGGCGCTCAAGGCCTGCCCGTATGCCGTGGACTCACCAAAGACGGCGCGTACAGCTTGCGTGTTCTGACACGTGATACAACATCCGCTCGGGCACGGGAGCTTGCCAAGCTTGGAGACGTCGAGTTCATTGAAGGCACGTTTACCAACGAAGCCAGCCTGCGAGAGGGCTTCGCGGGATGTTGGGGCGCCTTCATCAACATTGACGGCTTCAACTGCGGCGAGAAGACAGAAGTCTACTGGACCATCCGTGCTTACGAACTCGCTGTCGAGCTCGGAATTAAGTTCTTTGTATTCGGAAATCTCGACTACGCCTATAAAAAAGGCGGCTACGATCCAAAGTTCCGAGCCGGGCACTACGATGGCAAAGGCCGTATGGGAGAGTGGATGCTGCAACAGCGAAAGAGCAACAACATGGGAGTTGCCCTGTTCACCACCGGGCCATACATTGAGATGACGATTTCGGAAAAGACAATCATGACCCCGAGAGTTGAGAACGGCATTGTCACTTGGAGAGCCCCTCTCGGGGATGGGGAGGTTGCGCATATCGCCCTGGACGATTGCGAGTACTATGTCCGCTGGCTCTTTGACCACCCTGAAAGGTCTGACGGGATGGATCTGGAGGTTGCCATTGATCACATTCACTACACCGATCTAGCCGCAGCATTCGAAAGAGTTACAGGCAGCCCGGCTCAATATATCGACACTCCTGCGGACGTCTATTTTAACCATGTTCCGTTCTCTCACCAGCCGGCAGGGTACAACGCTGACCCGGCAGACCCGGCAACTATGTCGTTCAAGGACAACTTTACCGCTTTCTGGAATATATGGGCACATTCCGCAGGTAACAAAGGAGTCATCAAGCGGGACTACGCGCTTTTGGACGAGATTCACCCGAGTCGGATCAGGACAGCGGAAGAATTCTTCAGGAGAGAAGAAGAGAAGAGGCGAGCCGCTGGACTTGTTGGTCTCCTTGAATCCATCCAAAGCAACGCCCTGACTTCGATCTTGAAGATTGCCGAAGATGACAGGAAGGGGCAGTTGTAGTTAGGTTACTTGGGAATGCTTTGACGGACAGGAATCCCATCATTCAAAGAATGTATTGCCGCTACGCATAGAAATTTGGAGATCTCCAACTAATATTGCAGAGTATTCCTTGATGATCATAGCTGGTTTAAGCAACAGGTTAGGCGTGGCATCAAAGAAGACAATCAAGAGCCCACGATTTGGCTGTCGAATATTCTACAGTTAGCGAGGGTCGAAGACGGAGGAAATAGCTCGGGTTTGTTTACTTGAGGTGATCGAAAAAAATACTTCACTCTTTATTGCATCCTCATTTCAGTATTCTATAGCGCTCTCCTGTCAGATATCCAGACCAATGATCAATATGAAAGTCATCCAGGCTAATGCCCATTAGAACCGTGAGCTAACGAAGACCCCAAGGACATTTGAATAAAGTAGTGCTTTTCTAATGCTTGCCCAAAGCCAAAGAGTTGACAGAGGTGCCAATTCGCTAGAACTTCGTGGACATATCGTGTATTTCACGAGATTTGATTGGCCAGTCTTGTATTTTGACTCACGTCTAAATTAAAGGCACAGTGTAAACACGTAAAGTTCTCGTGCGATGGTTGACTCCGAAATCGTCTCAAAGGTTCTCTTACCACCCCAGAAAGCTAAGCAACCAAGAAGACCATAGCTGTTAAAGCTTTCTCGTATGGTCAACAGATTAGAGACAAAAGGTTTGTAGTCTGTAACTATAAGCTGATGGCGATGGGATATGCGGTGCTGTTTTGTTTTCGATGCCCTGTTTCTATTATTAAATGCACAAACGTTCTATGGAAGCCTATGATTGTGGCACTCAAAAACCATATTGAAAAAAAGAAGAGCCTAGGAACCCGTGTTCATTACACCAGGTACGGTCCCACCTGCTTCTCCAACCATTCCCAGTACTTTTTCCCAAGCTCCTTTTCCACAAGGTCAGCCCGAGCAGGTGTAAGACGACCAATGGGAACCACTAAGAGTCCCAGTCAGAACAATGAACAGCTTTGAAGTCAGGGATGTGAGTGACGCTTACCCCAGTCACTGGTGTTTGCGCGTGTGATATCAGGACTCAGACCGGCGAAGAGCTCGGTATAAGCACCATTCTTTGGCTCTCCCGCAATTGCTTTCTAAGACATGAAATGAAAACCATCAGCGATAGCCCTGAATAAATGTCTGTTGTTCGATTTGGTTTGTACGACTTACCGCAATGATCTTTTGGTACCATGGCATCGTACGCTGCAGGTTTGTCATGTAGACGCCGGGGTCGACACTCTGATTGGTACTGTAAGCAACGGTCTAGTCCTCTCATGGAAGCGAGAGTGGCCTACTATGCTGACGATTCCCTCTTTGGCCGTCCGCCTCGCGAACTCGGCTGCGATGATGACGTTACCAGCTTTACTCCTGCCGTACTTTGTCCCCGCGCCCTCGTCCTTGGCGTAATTCATGTTGTCAAAGTCGATCGGGGGCTTGGGGGCCATGTTCGCATAGCCCGAAGACAGCCATACAACGCGGACCGAGTCCCTCGGTGCAGTTCTGGCCGCGGCAGACAGCGCGGGGTGGAGGAGATGGGTAAAGAGAAACGGCCCCAGGGCGTTGACGCCGAGTTGGAGTTCGTAGCCCTGGGCTGTCTTGGATCCTTGCGGTGGGAGCATAACGCCGGCGTTGTTCCAGAGGACGTCTAGGCGGTCCTCCTTCCCGAGGAACTCCTGGGCGGATTGCTTGATTGTCGAGAGGTCGTTGAGATCCAGGAACAGATACTCACAGCGTCCCCTCGACTGCGGGTACAACTCCTTCAGTTCGTTGATCGCAGCCATGGCCCTGGTCTCGGACCGTGCTGCGAGGTACACTTTGGCATTTCTACTGTAGAGGATCTTTGCTAGTTCCTTGCCTAGACCACTGGAGCCTCCAGTGACGATGAATACCTATAAGGTGTGAGACATGATATGGACCAGACGAAGAGAATACTGCTTTACCTTATTACTCTGATCGGGCAAGGTTTCCTCTGTAAGATTGGCTTTCGGAGGGAAAAGATTCTTCAAAGCAGGACTCATTTTGCTGAAGTCTTCGGTATTGTTGTAATTGTCTTGGGAATGCAGTATGGAATTTGAGATGAAAGCGACTACGGAAACTGCGGCCTCTGGTCTTATATATATGTGGACGAGACATTCCAACTCCCACGAAATCTATCGCAAGCCTTCTTGCATGTTCAAGTCACCACAAAACCGCGGGTGTGGTGTAGGCCAATGTCAGCATACCTAGATAACGGAGTGGCTTGAGCGGTTAGATATGTAACCGCGCGGCGTTCAGCCGCGGTAGGAATTAAGGCGTGCATTCGTGAGGTTCTTTACCGAATTCGTCGTTAGGTCACGGGTTTAGGTGCTTGGTGGTCAGCGTAAGCCCGAATCTCACCCTCCGGAGTTCCGCATTAAGGAGATGCGAGGGAACCAAATCGCCGACATGCACTAGTTACTTCAGCTCGGGTCAACTCTCAATTATGGACATGCGAGTACGACCGGGTTTCGGGCTTCAACGTAGCACACGAATCATGCAAGGCGTGGCGAACAAAGGGTACGCGGCCAGAAAAGGCACCAGGTGTCATGTGCAATTACCAGCTGCCGCCACAGCTTCGCGCAAACAGTCGCGGTCACTTATGGGGCGTAGCCAACAGTGTCAGCCTCTCTCATGGGGCCCCGATCATCATGGTAGCCCTCCAACTCATAGTATGGTATATCTAGCTGCTGCCCGTCCAGCAATCCCATACCCGGCTGGATCGTAGCAGGTTGCTTGGGTTCGAACGACGACGTAAACCCGAAATCGAGACTTGGGTCCTGCAGCACCTCCTGCTCTTCAGGGAAAGGGACTTCGGAGAGAAATGTGAAGTCAAAGTCTGGGTGGGTGTAGTTGCTGAACAAGTCTAAAGGATCGGGTATGTCTGGAGTCGTGCCGCTGGTCGTCATAGTTGAAGGTGACGTATCTGTTGCCGAGGAGGTCGACCCGTATGTCCGGGAAGCTGGTGCATCGATGCTCGGTGGATCTTGGACGCCGCGCTCCTGATTCTCGAGCTGCTGGTAGCCCTTGAAGAGCGTAAGCTGGAGGTTTCGGGCAATTTCAATCACCTTCTGCTTCATCCCTTGCTCGACAAAGCTGAGCTCGCGCTCGATTTCTCTTTCGAGTTGTCGGCGAACCAAGGGCGGGAGCTCGCGGCGAAGGTAGTCCTCGTAGCCGCCCAGGCTCGTGTCGGCATCCTCTGTGCTGTAGTCTAGTTCTGTCAGTACTCCCAACCTTATAAGTGGCCCAGGCAGGTTCCAACTTACAAGGTGAGGGGATCTCCCTTTCTCTCACGTCTGGGAAAAGGATGCTGTACGCCTGTGTCCACTTCTCGGCCTCGGTGAGCTCCTTTGCGGACGTCTTCTTACGCGAGCGGAGCCTCTTTTCCTGGTCTTGAGTGATGCCGTCAAGGAACTCTGGCTCGCGGACCTCGCAGGCGTTTGCAGAGCGGGCGTGTGCCTGGAGATCTGCCTGGGTCTCGAATGGTTGGGAGCAGCGCGGGCACGAAAACTTTGGGAGCGAATGCTTGCGGTAGATGTGTTCCCTGGGAGATTGTCAGTCCCTTTTTTTGATTGTGCGGATAGCACGGCGGCGCACTTGATACGGTGGACGTGATCCCAGCCGGGCCCGCAACATGGTCGCTGGTTCTTGTATTTCCGGGGGTTATGCTTGAAGAATGGGCAGGCTAGTTTCGCGCCGTTTCCTCTGTCCTCATGGATCTTGGACAGCTTTGCCCGAGGCGGACGGTTTCCATCCCCGTCGCTGTTTCCCTCCTCCTCTTCCTCTCCTTGTTTGTTTTCGTCCGGTAGCCTATCATGCTTATTCGATCTTTTCCCTGATGATCGCGCAGATAGACCCTCGGCTGGCACTGCTTGATGGGTGCGGGCAGTACGCTTCCTTGGAGCTGAAGCTGGTGCGGCTGGTGTTACCACTGACCGAGGAGCTGGTGAAACTGGTCTCAGATGGAGATTTTCTAGTTGAACCGGAGGAGAAGAGGGTGGCAGAGCAGCCATCAATGCATTGGGAGTGTAGGACTGGCTCGCGGCAAGCCGAGGCACTATCCCGACCTTCTTTCGCTTATCAGGGATGTGACCTGGTGCTCCCAGTGCTGGTCGCGGCGGCGGCGACGGTGACGGGAGGGCCGATCTCAACGCCACACCGCTTCGACGACTTGGCACCGGTGCGTCGAAGGTAAACCCGCTGGCACTTTCTGTTGATGGTGGCAAAATCAGAGGTACCGATGTTGGAGGGGGAGGGGCATCCGATTCGTCTTGGCTTCCAGAGCCCCGACGAGTGATTGACAGCAGCGATTGCTCTGGGTCGAGTGACCCATCTTCGTTCTTGACTTTAAGTTTCGTGTCCAGCCAGCTCATGAAGGACGACATAAGTCTGTCAACCATGACCCTCTGGACTCTCTTGGACGGGTCGTCGACTTCCTGATATACTTCATCTTCTGCGTCAGAAGAGCTGCCATCGAAGTCCCTACCGCTCCTGGGCTCTGGTGTAGTTGGGCGGGATGCTTTCATCAGACTTGGAGGAGGCTTGTCGGGGTTGTCAACAAGTTCGATAAATGCTTCTGTTTCGAGTCCCGCCGGCACCTTTGATGATGATTGGGGTTCAAAGATTCCAAAGTCGAGTTCTTTTGACACCGGGGGCTCGGCACGACAGCTTTTCTGCCCCGTCTCTGCTTTGGAGAGAAAGGCTGGGTCAATGGTCATGGCAGCGTCGGAGATATGGTCATTGTGTGATGTGAGGTCGGATACACTCATCATCTTTTTCTTCTTCTTCTTATTCAGCATCATCATCATGTTCCAGCTTTCGGGAAGCTGCACTGATGCAGGCGTTTCGGGGGAGCCAGGGCAGGGGTCCGCCGAAGGGAGTTGGGCGCGGCTGTTGTTCTGGCTCGGAACTGCAGACCCCGGTGCTTTCTTTGGAGGAATTTCGTCCGAGTTTCCATCTTGGCTGCCCGAGAAAGGGCTGATGAGAAAGCGTGAGAGACTGCTTCTGATACGAAGCCGGGGCGGAGTCGACTCGGTGAGAGTCGTCTCGGAAGTCTCATGTTCATGCTGGGCTTCATCGGAGGGTAGAGGGTCATCGGCCGTCTCGAGATCCGATGCACGAGGCGAGCCGTCGCGCCGCCGGCTATCTTGGTCGGATTCGCTCGGGTCTCCGGTGACGGGCTTCTTCTCCTTTTCTAGTGGCGGCGGGCTCATGGTCACCAGCGGGAGTTTCTGTGGGGCGGATTGAAAGCCGGTGTGCGGGCAGGGGACGGCAAAGTCGGCAAAGGAGCCTCGACGCCGGACGAAGATGACGCAAAGGTCAGGCTCTCGCGATCTGTACGCGATGAGAGGTTCAGATGCAGACGCAAGGGGTGGCGGAGTGAATGTGGGTTGTTTGTTGTTGACAGGGGACTGGGTTGGAGGGCTTTTTGATGATGGGATGGATTGAGCGTTGCAGTTGTACGCGGCGGCGCAAAAGTCAGGGACGCGGCGGCGCGGGGTGCGTCCATTGCGGCTGACAGGGCCCCGCTTGGCCGAGCACGGTGGTCCACTCTATACCCGTACCTGCAGGTACCTACCTAAGGACCTAGGTAGGTAGGTTCCGCAGTGGAAACAGCCACGGTGCCGGCCGGGCCTTGAGTTCTTCAAGGACACCAAAGACTGAACATGGCATTATCGTGAGTAGGACAGGGTCCAAGATGTTTGTTTTCCGACCGAGGGAGTTGTACAATATTGGTGGTAAAGGGGGGGGGGGGGGGGCTTGAACCCAGCTGATAATGCGCTCAAGCCCAAGCAAGTGCCCTGCCTATGCAAGTAGCCATCGTACCCATCCATACCCTCTTGTTAACAAACTCGAAAGCCTGCTCGTTGGCTGTATTCCAACCTTGGTTCATGTCAAATATCTGAAGTGATAGATAGCTCTTTGAGCAGTGTGGTGGTATGGCAACTGCTAGCGTGATCCTTCGGCTGCCTGCGTCGACGTGATGGAACGGAGGACAAGCGTGTTTTAGTTGCTGTACTAGCCTTTATGACGCTCGATAGTATGATTTGACAGCACTTTGCGGGCCGGACTGCGAACTGATAATGGGTCATGAATATTGAGACATTATCATGAGAGCAACAGTGAGTGGGTCAATGAGTAAGGGAGTGAGTGAGGGAGGGAGGGAGAGGTTTTCCCTTGTATATCAGCTGCAAATGGGGCATTTCGGGGAGAATCGGGGGTCCAAGGGCGCAAAGATGACATTAGGGCGCGGCCGGAAAAGGGCGTTTTTGTCAGCAAGGAGCCACAGAACCACCTTCCTTCCTCTCCTTCTCACGAACACTAGAGTGAATGAAGGAAGGAAGGAAAGGTAGAAAACTGGACCTTCCCCCCTCTCTTCTCATATGCTTGCCTAGGTAGGCGCGTACGCAGGCAGGTACCACCTTCCTATCAATGGTTCCTCTTTTCCTCTCTTTCCGGGCCACCCTCGAGCTGCAAACACGTGATTGTGATTCGCCGAAGGGGCCGGCCCTGCTCCCATCAACGTAACAACAGCAAGTTTTCCATGTATTGTTTGCAAGTGGCCTTGGATCCGGATCGCTCTGAAACTGAGATAGGGTCGCACAGGTATGCAACAGTACCAAAAGCACAGTAGGAAAACACAGTACAAGCAAGTATCTATCATGGCTAATCAATAGTGTACTCAACACCATAGGAACGCTTCGAAACCCCATCTACGAATACTCGGACTGTCTTGCTTGGCATCTTGGCTTCCTACCTTGAGGCAAGGCCTCTCTCTCTCTCTCTCTCTCTCTCTCTCTCTCTCAATCAACCTAGCCCCATGTCTTCCAACCGCTTCCTACGCCAACCGATATCATGCCACCCACGCCAACCATATGCGGCCCCCTTCGCCGACGATGCCCTGCAACTTACTTGCTCTTCTGGGATGGTCGCCCTTATCTTGACGCCAGCCACCCAAGGCACCCCAAGAAAGCCAACCAGGATCCCATCCGACGAAGCCCTGGATCCCCCATGGACCAACCTCTGTCCAATGATGGAATGTTCTGTGCAACCAACCATCTCACTATACACCACCATTCAAGGGGTTTCCCCCCTCCAACATGCCCAAAGGGCCTTGGCTTGCATATATGGCCCCCCAACAACGCAAGTATAACTAGCTGTCCGACTCCATGTTTCGTTCGTTCTCGCACCATGTACACGCATCATGTCTGGCTACTACAGTCAGGTTTGTGTGTGAAAGCACATGTGGTATCTTGATTCTGCTAATAGCTACTGGTATGCATCAAATCATTCCGAGAATCATCGCTGGTCACAGGATGTTTCCGTATTTCAATGCACATTAACGAGCAGTCCATGGTCTTGCTGCACCCGCTTTTCGACCGTAGCCACGGCCCATCTTTCTTTTTGTTTCCCTTTCTCTCCAGCACCCATTACCAAACGTGGTGGATGGCACGCCTCCACGCGGGCATCGCAGCAAGACGTGCGCGGTATGCGTGGATCTCGTCCCAGTCAAGCTCACGTCGGCCAGTGTCGACATCCATCTGTGCCGTGCGGAGCCAGCCGGTGCGCTTCCAGAAGAAGCCACCGACCCAGAAAATCATCACAACAGGGAGGGCGAGGTACGACTTGAAGAAGCCTTCAGCGCCGTTCAGCTCATCCTTGCCAGGGGGGGCAATCGCAGTGTAAAACTATTAATCTCGTTAGCGCTTTGTTTCTCATTCATCAGCCGGGGATTGAATACACATACCTGAGCAGCAAGGACAACGAAGCACAAGAAAAGGCCGATCCAGGAGCCGGTGGTGCCACCGATTGCCTTGAAGGGGATCTCGTCGACAGTGTGCCCGTGGTACGCCCAAGCCTTGCGGAAGCGGATGTGTGCAAGGCAGATGGATCCCCAGGTAAAGGCGGCCGCCAAACCCGAGAGAGCCAGCAGCCAGTCGAACACAACCGGTCCGCTTGCGTTGAGGTTGACGTATGCCAGCGGTCCGAAGATGATCATGGCGAAGACGGACGCCAGAGGACGTCCGGAGCGGTCAATGTAGGTGAAAATCTTGGGTGCATATCCCTGCTGAGCCAAGGCAGTGAGGGTACGCGATCCACCATACACACTCGACACACCAATTGACAGAACGGACACGAGAATGACACAGTTCATGAAGTGGTCGAAGCCCTTGAGGCCGGCGTACTTGCCAACAAGCACAAAGGGGGAGGCCTTGACGTCAGAGTACGACGACTCGGAGAGCAAAGAAGGGTCGTCGGACGGGATCAGCAGACCGACAAAGAAGAGACCCAGGATGTAAAACAGCGAGATACGCCAGAACACCTGCTTGATGGCACCAGGCAGCGACTTGACAGGGTTCTTGGCCTCAGCCGCGGCCAGGCCGACGAGCTCGGTACCGGAGAAGGAGAAAGCTGCCGTGACGAAGACGGAGCAGAAACCCTTGAAGCCGTTGCGGAAGGCGCCGGGGTCATACCACAGCTTGGCACCCTGGTACTCGTGATATCTACCGCTCTCCGGTCCGCCACCAAGCACGAGGACGAGGCAGATGATCATGAAGATGACGGTAGCCCCGAGCTTGATGCAAGCCGACCAGAACTCCTCCTCGGCGTAACCAATCGAGCCGAAGATGTTAATGACGATGATAGCGATAAGGAAGACGGTGATCCAAACGGCGACACTGATGTCCCTGTTCCAGTATTGAACAACGAGACCACTGACTGTCAACTCGAGCGGAAGAACGGCGGCCCATTGAAAGACGTAGTTCCAGCCCATGGCGAAACCCCAGGAAGGATCGATGAAGCGTGTCGAGTAGGTGTAGAAGCCACCAGAGACGGGGTACATAACAGCGAGTTCACCGAGGGCATACACTTTTTTGCCAGCGTCAGCTACTGCTTGCTTGCTGTCAAGGACAATTTCGAATACTTACCGACGTTGAACATCATGATACCGACGAGGAGAAAGTCAATGAACAGGGAACCGGGACCCTGTGTCAGGTCAGCAACAACACTCGACAAATACGGCGACCAAGGCGAGCAACGCCTCCATCCATGGCAGGCAGTACTTACACCCTTGCTCAGAGCACCACCGGAACCGACGAAGAAACCAGCACCGATGGAGCCACCGATAGCGATCATGTGGAGATGGCGCTTGCTCATGGCACGGTCGAGTTCGACGACACCACGGCCATATTCGCGCTTCTTGAACGATGTCAAGTTCACGCCGGCACGGGTTGCCCAGGACTCCTCGCTGATGGCACCACGAACGTCCTTTCCGCTGCTAGAATCGTAGCCAGGGGCGCCGCCAATGGCCTTCTCGTCGGCCTCGACCTTTGTGGGGATGACCCCTTCTTGAGCAGCCATGATGGCGATGTGCAACTTCCGTGAAGGACTGGAAGGAGACTCAAGACCTGTGAAGGGTATGGACAGACAACGGATGTCTGTTACAAAAGAAAGATATGCGGGAGCATGACCTGGGAGGGAATGCGAAAGAACGGAGAGGGATGCCGAGCTGACACGGACAAGATGAGACGGGGAAGGGAAGAGCTTTATGAAGGAAATGCTGATCGAGACAGGAACTGACGCGCAAGGACTAAGGGTTCTTGTCAAGGGCGGCGCAAGCGGATCCAGTCATGCACGGAAGACCACTAATAGATTGCAATCCATTGACGATGGATAATTACACACACAAAAGGAAGAGGAGGAGGTGAGAGGGTCAGGGATGGAATTACGATGGGGGATGGTCTGTCCGGCTTTGCCCCTCTCTCTTGGGGTGAAGTACGCTGATCTTAGCATGGACGGGCTCCGAAGCAGGCAATCCTGGACAGCAACCCATTCGTTTACTGTCGCATACGATGATGGGGGGAGGGGGGGGGGGGGGGGGCGATTTGGCTTTCGACCGTGCATCGGTACGTACTGGATCTTATGGGAAGAGGGAAGGCTAAGCCATTGTCAAGTGTCAAGTGGGCGGCGGGACGGCCGCGGACAGCTTTCCGATATGCATGATACGCTAACCAAGGGCACAGGTATGTACGGTACAGGTTCGCCCGACGAGAAGCACTGCGCGGTCGCGGTCAGGGTCAACAAGGGTAGAACCACAGGAACGGATAGTCGACCTGTTCTCCGGACCCTCTTACTCTTTTCTCCACCGGTGAGTGCGCCTCTTCGGACGATTGCGCATCTGGAGTCGAAGCCCCAGATAGCGTGAGCGGCGCTGGTTGGCCAATGACCATGGTGTCACTTGAAGCCGTTAGCAAATGGCTCCGCAAAGTGGCCGCCCCCTCGCTATTATCCGCCCACTGTGCGCTCTCCTCTAAACGTTATCTCAGAGTCCCTGGGCAGCGGTAGAATGCCAGTGTGATTTGGTCGGCGGCCAGTGAGTTAAGCCTATTTCGGAAGGCACTGCCACCACTGCCACTGCCACTGCCACGGCCACCACCATGGCCACTACCACGGCTACCACTGCCCACGTCTGTAACCGATGCAAAAAACGCCCTTTTTGCCGCAAATCCACTATCGCCAACAGACGCCCACGATGCCCGAGATTGAGCCCTTATATCTAACCTTTGAAGAGTGCTAGCGATGTGTATAAATTTTCTATTGCAATAAGGGTATTACCCTTTGAGCAAAAGGCTAGAGTAATAAGCGTTGCTGATTTAACTTTATCTGCGACTGGGCTGGTAATTGCCCACTTTGGGCTACGCGAAAAAACGTTTCATTAAAACAAACTAACTGCCCCTTTGTAGGCAAGATCTGGCGCTATGGCGACAGTTAGCATTAGGAGATTATGGACAGCAGAGATCTTTACAACTATACATTACTTACTAAAGATGAGTTTACCAAAGTCGTGGCCTTCTAGCGGTTAAGTGAGGAGGAGGCTGCTTATTATGTAGCCTAGGAGGGCCGAAAGTTAATACTTGAACGCGTTAAAGAGCTATCCACTAATAACAATATGACCTTACGTGAGATTGCTATTTAGCTAGCTAATATAGAGAAGGTAACTATTATTAACTAACGTGTATATAACCTCTAATGTGAGCTATGTAAGAGCAAATTTGGCCTGTTAACCTCTATATAACTATTTATTGAACAACTATGGTAACGCGATAATATTCTCTTTTACTGTATTTACTGCGGCAATGATGGGAAGATTAATGGTGTTTTCTAGATATACTAGCCTTGCCTGGAAATGCTGAAGAGGTATCTAGAGTTATTAATAATAGATAATATATATAAGGTACATAAAAAAACATTACTTATCCTAACTATGTTCTAATGCCTTCTGCTATAGCAGGTTAACTGCTTTTAAATACTACTTTTTTAAGTAGTAGGCCTTACTGCTGTTAATATAACTTTTAACGTATACTTTTGCCTAGTATTTGCTAAAACAACTGACTTTTACCTCTAGGTGCTTCTTTAACTTTGTATATTACTATAAGAGAGTAATATCCCTGACCTAGGCGTAATAATTACTGATTTTGACGCTGGATTAAAGCGCGCTGCTAGGGAGGTCTTCTTAAATATAAAACAACAACTTTGTGTCTAGTATATGCTGAAAAACGTGGTGTTGAACACAAAGAAGAAGTAGGAAGGCCTACAAGGCCCTGAGGCTAACAAAGTTGTAGCTGCTGCCCTTGCTACTAACCCTACCTACCTATAATAATAATAATAACAACAAGAGGATATTTTAACCTTTGACAAGAAGGTGTATTTATATAACCTAGATAGGCTTGTTAACGCGTAGTAGGCCTGTGTTTACGTGTCTACTGTTAACATCTATAAAAAGGCATAGAAATCCCTTAAGCAGTAATTTACTAACTAGCTAGGTACGTTATGTCTACTTATCCTGAATTTTAGCTGACTTCTCTAGTAATAATTCAGTATCTATAGACAATATATATCCTATAGCTCTATAAATTTATTAATTATAAAATCTATTACCTCTATAACTATAGTGTTAAGAGTATGTTGCCTACTAAAGGGTTATATACTAAGTTAAAGTTATATCTTGCCTACTGCTTTACTAACCTCTATACCTTTTATACTAAAATACGCAAAATAGTTAACTAGAAAATAGATTATTATAATGCCTAATGTAGGTATAAACGTTGTTGCTGTATACCTACTAGCTAAATCTAGTTATTGTAACTATTAATATATAAAGTTTCTTTTTATGCCCTTAGGCTCTTTTACTAATAATATATGGCTACTAGTAAGGCCTTTAAGAAGCAACAGAGCCTTTAGCCTGGCTACAGTGGTGCCTTCTTTAAGCAGTAGGGAATACTTTGCTGCTATAACCTTTTATAGTGGTTATAACTTGCTGACTATAGCTAAATACTATAAAAGGAGGATCTTAACCCTTACTGGCGACTTGATTAGAACAATGTACGTATATCTATTAGTAAACTATTCTTTGCTAATAAGCCTAGCTAAATTTAATTGCCCTTTGACTCTAGGCTATTAAGGCTGACCTGAATCTTGTTTGCTGCTAATGGGCGTATTGCTATATACCTATTGACTCCTCTGACGACAAGGCTCCTACTTTTTCCCTTACTGATACCTAACAGGATCCCTCTGCGTAGGAAAGATATAATGCCTTTTATACTACCTCTAAAGTTAATACTTCTCTAACGTCTACCCTAACTTTAAATTATGCTAGTAGCCCTAGTGTATATGGCAGCTGTAGTAGACGCGGCAGCAGTAGCTGCAGCAGCAGCAGTAGGGCACAACAGTAATAACTCCTTGTTATTAATAGTCTCTGTAGTACTGTTGAGAATCTGGCAGCCTTAGTATAAATATTACACGATAATTAGGCCTAGCAAGAGCAATGGCGGCTTGAGGCTGAGTAACAACGGCAGGCCTACGAGGCTGCCCTTTTTTATTACTGGCAGTAACAACAAGCAGTACTTTTGGCCTGGCAGCAGGAGCAACTTGGCTGGCAATTAGTGCTGCCGCGGCTGCTGCGGCCGCTGCGGCCGCTGCCGCTGTTGCTGCTGCTGTAGCAGCAATATGGGCAGTATGGGCCATATGGGCAGTATGGGCAGTATGGGCAGTATGGGCAGGGTTAACTTGGGCCTTGAATGGGTCACGTGATATAATGAATTTTTGAATTAATTGTAGCCGTTGCCTCTATTTTGCCTTGAATCGCCTGACTTTGAATCGCTTGAATCTGAAGAGTTTTTAACTTTACGCAACTTTCTGAATCCTGGCCTTCTCATTGGTCAGTTAAGTCAGAATGTTGTTGTGGGCTATTTTTTGCTGGCGCTGACATAATGGATTCCGAAATAGGCTTAACTCACTGGCCGCCGACCAAATCACACTGGCATTCTACCGCTACCCAGAGTCCCCTCGAAAACCAGTGGGTGGGACTGGCGCGCAAGTGGAGTGAGCACGAGTCCTTGGGAATTAAGACATGGGGAGAAAGGGCCGGCAAGTGGTCCAAGCCCGCGACGATGGAGACGAGTCGAATCCAGGTACGCTACGACTAAGCTAGGATGACTTGCCTAACACCTGGGCAGTCTGCGTGCGCGGTCATCTCAGCCTGTATACGGATAGTCGAGTTCGATTTGTGCTGATGTCGACGAGGCTCACTAGGGGAAGGTGATGGAATTGGCCGCCATTAACAAGCCACATGGGTGAAGTCTTGTCGGAGCTTTTGGATAGAGTTTTAGCGGCTCTTTTGGAAGTCACTGCTTGGCACGGTACTCGCGAATACTGGTTGGTCTCCCTCCCTTGCCTTGGAAGATAGCCTGCGCCGCCAAGTAAGCCACTCCGAGGTCTGGACTCCATTCTTGCCTTTCGCTCGCTGCCGCAGACAACGAGCTGATCTTGGCCGCCCCGGGTTTCTCTGCAACCTTGCAAACCCCCGACGTCGTACAGCACATGGGTGAGACAGGGGGGCTAGGATGCCAACAACTCCACGCACACACACCACACACACACCACACACCCACGGCCACATACAGTTTCGGTTTCAAGGTTTCTAGCGTTTCTGCGCTAGCTTTGGCTGCCGGTGCTGTCGCGTGATGGCTTGTGAATCCTCAGCTACATCAACCCCGCGCAACGTAGCGGCATGGCTTCTTGATCTGGCCGAGACATTTCTCGGAGAAGACCTATGGTTCCGCCGCCGCGAATCGTACAAAGCATCGGCATCGGCATGTGCAATTTATCCCATGCTTCAGATACCGCGCTTGTTTCCATCACTGGAGCCTGCGCATGGCACCAGGGGGTTATGGGAAATTGAGTCGCGTCCCCTGTCCAACTTTACCGTCGCTGTCGCCCGCCGGTATAGGCCCTATCGCGATTGTGTCGCCTCTACTGCCTCCACGCGAATTACCGTCTTAGTTGACACATATACACGTCTACGGCCGCCCCGACCAACAATCACACAGTACGGATAACAGCCCCGGTATGATGGTGTGTGATTCCACTCGCACGATAAGCCATTGGTGACAGCATATGATTATGACGTCTGTTGGCCGTGAAAGGTCCGACAGGTGGCCATGCGATAAGAGTTATGGGTGCCTACGGCTCATACCATTTGCCGACACGTTTCGAACGAGCCACCGATGTGCCGAATTGGGGGCGAATAGGATACACTCCGTACGTTGGATGCTTCTGGTGTCTTGGTTGTCTTCTACCACAACACCAACTGAGCGATGCAGTCTGCCCACACGCGCGGGGATGCATATCCAGTAACCTGCTTCTAGGTATTCTACTACGTAGTATTCCCTACTGTTTGGCATGCATATCCCGGCACATCACACCCTCCTCGACCAGACCAAACCCTTCTGTCGGTCCTTCTAGCGCCCTTCTATTTGCCCCCATTGACCCAATCTCACGCTCCGGCCCTTTCATCCATCTTGATTCGTCTATCTGACGACGATCAGAGCTTCTCTGAGACTCCCGTAAGTCGCGCCCGCTCGATGTTGGTATGGAGTCATGCGCCTCCTCTACATACCGGTAGTATGCGCTGCCCAATATCAGACAGACGGTCGCTCCGGACGGAACGCTTATCTGCACAGCTCTCTCCAGTGGCCCAGAGACACCATCGTCATGCGGGTCCTTTGGGGCTGCCACACCCATGCCCACAGCAACCTAGGGGTGCTCCAGTCTAACTGGGGGTCAACTCGGGGAACGAACCAAGAGTGTATCTTCTTCCAGCTCGCCTCGGGACGAGTACACTATGTATGTCGCTCAGAGGGGGGGGGGTTTGCCGGGGATGACACTGCCAGTGCGAATTTCTGTCTACACTACTAGTATCCGTATACTGCACTCTATGGTTCGCGACGCAGCGGGGGCGCGGAGTGTTGCACGACTCGGTCATCACTCACCAGTCAAAGTGGCTGCTGGCCTGGATTGCCTCGAGTCAGCCCAATTGATTGCATCTAGCAAAACACATGGTACCGCGCTTACGGAATTGCTGCGATACCCCCTCAAACTGTCATCAGCCCGACGAACCCCTTAAGTCAAGGGAGATTGTCGGGAGTTACCACAAGCATAAACTATGCACTTTTAAAGGCCTTATCGAGGATGAGTTCGAAAGGCGTTCGTCCGCTCCCACCGTCGTCCATGTGCACAGCCCCGTCTCCGGTTGCAGCGCCAACGCAATCGACCGAGCATGCTCCATCCTCGGGAGAAGCACAAGAAATAACCCACATTTGGGGGCGCGGCACTTGTAGACGACCCCGTATCCAAGATTACTTGGGGCTCTCATCACTCGATGCGGCAATAGGCCCTTCTCCGCCAGCCTCGGCTGAAGCGGTCGGTCTTACCTCCTCCAGGCTTTAGCCGTGCTTCGGCAAGCAATCAATGCCAACCAACGGTGGGAGAGACAGATCACAATCACCACATTCCATTAGCGGAGACCGAGTGGAGCGGCACCACACTACTACGTAGGTATTCGGGACGTTGGATCCTTGCCGCGGCATGTCAAAGAACACGCCATTGGCGCTGCCAGAAGACGCAACATCGCATCTGAAGGGTGAGCTTCTCTGCATGGAAGCCATGATGGCCCCTGACTTGCTCCGGAAGAGGCCAGTTTCTAAAACACGACCCTTCCGACACGCAGCGGTGGAGAGCGCCAACTGATTCGTAAAGAGCTCCAACAAAACACAATCCGAGGTGCCGGATTGGATTTGCCAGGCATTCCTCTGGGGAAACGCGGCGACGGCCCCCCCATTCGCGCGCGAGACGATTCTCGTACGTAACGACATGGATTAGGCGTTGGCCTCAGCTCTCGGTTCTTACTATGGTATCGGGCCAAAGTTTAACCCCCTCGTCAAGTACCCGTGGAGCAGCCCATACCCACTTAAACAGCCAATCAGAGGTCCTATATCCATCCAACCAATCCACCTATTGCCAGCAGCACTTTTTCCTCCTTTTTTTTTCCCTCTTGCAACAACCCAACCAACCAACCCACCTATATCGCCAATATGGTCCGGCCGGCCGGCAGCAACACGAAGCACCTTACAGAGGCCAACCGGCAACGGATACGCACCCTTTATACCGACGCGAAGCTATCGCAGCCAGAGATAGCTAATATTACTAGATTTTCAAAGCACCAAGTCTGTACAGTAATTTGGGCCCTGGTGGCAGCTGTTGCCCCCTGGTTGGGCTGGCCAAGGGTTATGATAACCTAACAAGAAGAGCAGCTTGTTAAGTATGTTACCTCTTTAAAGGAGGGCCGCTAGGCCTCCTTTTTACGCCTATCTATACTCCTTTTTTCCTCTAAATTTGGTGCTTATATAATTTAAGCAGCTCTTTGGCGGCTCGGCTTCAAGCGACAGGCCGCACAGCGGAAGCCCCCTATCTCTAAAGTCAACTAGCAACAGCGTCTCGCTTAGGCCCAAGAGTACCTCCATTAGAGCGTCAAGGACTAGAAGAAGGTTCTATAGATAGATAAGACATAGGTAACTAGTAGTTACTACACAAAGATCTATATAACCTATTAGTCTAGTGAAGAGTGGGATCTAACTTGTATTATTGAGAGGTATTAACGTAAGCGGGGTTAGATATTCTAGGGATGTTTCTCTAGGGATTAGAAAAGGCTAGGTATCTTCTAGGAGAAGGATTAGGGCAGTATTAAGGCTAAGTCCTACTGACAGCAGACTATTCCTATTATCCATAGATAGATCTATCTATGCTAGCAACAATATAGCAATAACCTTATCCTTATGCAAGATAGCGCTCTAGTATACTCGGCAGAGGAGACCCTACAAGACCTCTATGACCAAGGCGTCTAGGTTATCTATTGGCCGCCTTTTTCTCCTGACCTTAACCTAATTAAGACATGTTGGAACTGGATGAAGGACTATATCCAAGAGCTAGCAGGCGATAATAAGAACCTATCGTATAATATCCTCCGTACATAGGTAAAAGAGGCCTGGGAGGCTCTTCTAGAGGACTTCCTATCTAACCTTCTTGCAACTATGCCGGATCGCTGTAAGGCAGTGATTAAGGCCAATGGGTTACATATTAAGTATTGACTTTGCCTATAGAAATTAATCAATTTGGATGCGTTGCGATTATGTCAGCCATTTTCACCCCCTTGCCAGCCATCTGTCTAAGCCCCTGTTGTGGGGTAATACCTGACTATCCGGTTAAATATACCCATCACACGTAGTATCTCTCCAGGCTTCCCTGGCATGGACTGGGGGTCTCCTCCTAGGCTCGGACAGACCGAATCCTAGTTCCTGTGGATATCAAGGATCCGCTTTGATTATTGCCCCCTGGCCGTACATAGTAGACCGTTGGTGCAATGTCGCAGCGGCTGCCGCTTTCTCTAGAACAGCTGATATTGAGAACCAACAGTGCGTGAGTTCTGGCTCTGGGTATAGGCAGAATGCCAGAGCGGTTTGCTCAGCGGCCAGTGGGTTAAGCCTATTTCGGAGTGTATTATGTCAGCGCCAGCAAAAAATAGCCCACAACAGCATTCTGACTTAACTAACTAATAAGACGGCCAGGATTTAGAAAGTTACATAAAGTTAAAAACTCTTCAGATCCAAGTAATTTAAAGTTAAAGCAAGATCGAGGCAACAGCAACAGCTATAATTAATTTTAAAATAAAGTTAGATTAGTTACCCTTATTACTTCAGCCTTTTACTTAAAGGGTAGTACCTGTGGCCCTTTAATATAATAATAAGTTTATATACATAGCATATCGCTAGCACTCTTTAAAGGTTAAATATAAGGGCTTAATCTTGGGCATCGTGGGCGTCTGTTAGCAATAGTAGATTTGTAGTAAAAAGGGCGTTTTTTACATAGGTTATAGACGTAGGCAGTAGCAGCAGTGGCAGTAACAATAACAGTGGCAGTAGCAGTAGTAGCAATGCCTTCTAAATAGGGTTAGTCACTGGCCGCTAAACAAATTGCTCTGGCATTCTACCTGTACCCCTGGCTCTAATCAACAGATGATCTATACCTATCCGGCGCCAACGACAGATCCGAATTGTCACGGGTAAATTACCAACGACTCGCGCGTGGTAGCAGTAGCAGCAGAAGCACAAGCACAGGGGTTTCGTGAGTTTTCCCGCCCAGGCAGCCGTTGTTGCCTGAGCGATCGACGTCCGTTGACTGCTCAGGGTGTTGGCTTCCGAGGAGGGGATCGGCTGAGATATCGTTTTGTGGTTTCCTGCGCTCTGCGACGTTGCCAACCTTCTAGAAGAAGAAGAAGAAAAAGGCGCGTTCTATGGCGCACGCTGCTGCAAGGGCGACCTTGCCGGGTCGGAGATATCTGCACAAGCGCCAAGGCCCAAGGGGGAACCGACTAGATCGCCTAGTTTCTCGGCCATCAAAGCTGAAGACAGGGCGACCGTAGTCCTTGACGATGGCGCCCTGTCTTGACGATGGCGCCCTGTCTTGACGATGGCGCCCTGTCCTGCAATGGCTAAGGCGACGAGCGGGAAGCCAGCCCGCCAGCCGTTCGCACAGGAGGAATGCCGCTGCCGCTGCCGTTCCCAGGCGCCAAAGGACTTGGGCTTGATGATCGCCGTAGCATGGCATGGCCAAGGGCTGCTGCACTGATAAGGCGATGGATGCCGTGCTGGAAGGGGGGGGGAAGGGAGGGATGGACGGGAATTTTTGGCCTTAGTCCCAGGGCTGAACGCCCGCAAGCAGGCAGCGCGGGAGGGACAGCCAGGCCGGCGCTGCTACCGGGCTTTGCGACGGATTTAGCAACACGGTAGGATGGCGGCGGCTTCTTATCATCTCGGTGCTGTGCTTGCGTGTGTTCGACCAGAGGCCTTTGACTCGTGCTCCGACTAGCACCCGGGCAGGCCGCAAGAGACCGGCCACGGTGGACCTAGTCTGCCGGTGATGCATGGCGGCGGAGGAACGGATTATATTGAGTAGGGGTCTAGTTGATGCAGCAGTATCGAGGCTGGTCTTCTTGGAGGACCTCCGCAAGTAGGCGACGGCAACCCAAGGGGCCAAATGGCTGACTGGATCTGAGCTGCCTACTAGACGTGTGTGTGTACGCGTCTCCGTCATCGCTCGTGAACGTGCCAATGAGATTCGCGAGCTTACGGCCAAGGATTCCTGTTACCGTTGCTGTCCTTCTCTGTAAAACCGCAAGCCACGATGGGGAAATGCAGCCACATTCCACCGCTGGGGGCTCATTTGGGCCTGGTGCCAGACCGAGGATTACGAGTCCTTTTTGGAGCCCTCTTGTGAGCCTTAATTTTTTTTATTTTATTTTCATCCAGCTTGGCTTGCTGATCAAGCGTCAACAGTGCAATATCAAACATGCGTTGACCGACGTTGTCCATCCCCCATTTCCCCGCGAATCCACGTCTCCAAAGGAGAATAAACGAACTCCATTCATTACTCGATCAAAACGCTTAACGAGCATCTCATTACGTACGTTTTACGGCCTTATTTTTTGGGGAGCGGACCGGCATCTCCACACCAAGGAAGGGGGCCCGGCTCCATTTCCCCGCGATCTGCATCTCGTAAACCGACGCTTGCCGCGAACCAATTTTCTTGCATGTTTTTACATATTAAAAAAAGAGGGGGAGTGTTGCAATTATGGATCCGTCAAAGAAAGGTGCGGCGTTGGCGGCACAGGTCCCCAATCTGATTGCGCACGACGTCCAGTGACAGTCCGTCCCCGTATATAAAGAGGCGGTGACCTGCAGCACCAGCCGGAGCGGTGGGGAGACCTGCACCATGATGCTCCACCGCCGTACGAGACGTCCTCGACCGCTTCCGCGTCCACGTCCCGGCCCTCTGTCCGCCAGCTGGGGGACGCAGACGGCTCGCGGGGCTCCTGCAGCAGCTTCGGGGAGGGCGACGACGCAGCCGAGCTTCTCGCGGGCAGCCGAGGGCGCAAGGGCGGTGCCGCGGGCGAGGGATGCCTGCTCACGCCGCGGCCAAGGCCGTCACGGGAGGACGACGACGAGGGGTACGCGAGGATGGATCCCATGTCGGCCGAGGCGCCGGGCCAGTGGGAGAGCCTGAAGGACACGCCGGGTTTCTGCTTCAGCGACAGCGGGGGGTGCTGCTTCTCCAGCAGGAGAGGGTGTTGCTTCTCGGACCGCGGCGGCGCTTGCTGCTCCGATACCAAGGGGTGCTGCTTCTCGAGGAACGGGGCGTGCTGTTGCAGTGATTCTGGGGGCGGGAGGCCGCGGCTGTGACGAGTTCGACCGTCATGCGAACAGCTGGCGTGTATGAGGATACTCTTCTTAGTATCCGAGAAGTTAAGTGTCGACGACGAACCCGCCGTGCGCACAATGCTGTTGGCAATAACGCCCGACATAGCGGATGGTGGGAAGAGCATGCATGGTATCTGAGGATATTATAAGTGATTCAAAAACACTGTCTGTGGCTTGCTCGGGTGAAAATACACTAAAAAGCTGTATCCCCCTCATGGCTTTGCGAGCATTGAAGAGCTCTAAAAGTACGAGGAGTTTAGTCACTTATTATCATTCAATACCTCGATATCCTTCGTGCCACTGAATAGCTGAGGACCGCGGTCCAAAACAAAGACCGCATGCCATTGTTACTAGACGTGATTGGTCTGGCTGCTGGACTTGCCTATACTTCGCTTCATAAAACCCAGTCTTGGGCAAAGTCCAACCAGGTCAAAGTCCATAGTGACTTTTCACCGTAGCACCATAGCCAGGCACTACAAGCAGTCTTTGGAGAGGCCCTTCGGAGTGGTGCCAAATATGCCTTGCCGGTGATTCCTAGGCGGACTTCGTCGCCGAAGGACAGTGTCAGACGGGCGAACGTTTGTCCTCTGATGCCGTTCACAACCGAGTTTATTGGCCCAAAGCCTTATCTTAGCGCAGAGCTTTCACGAAACCATTGGGCTTTGCTTCATGTCAACTTGTCAGCAAACCAGCTTGGGTATAGTTCATTCTCAGTCAGCTCCGCCGGTTGATTTGGCCTCAACGACGGTCCATTTTTAAACAGGACACCACCCGCGACTATCCAATATTGGATTTCTTGAATGAACCATTTTTTCTTTCTGGGGCATACTTCTGCCTTCATACGACGTGGGATCAATGTTCTGTGCGTTGTTGTGATGGCCTTCCGTCTCGGACCCTGGACGTTCGGGTACGAGTTGCTTGACACGTTCTTGAGAAGGCCAGCTTTACTCGGCTCGTCACAGCACATGAGATACGGGATTCGACTAGAACACACCTCTTCACCTGAACAATTTCCATGACCAAAGCGTCGCCCGAGTAACCCAGAGACCCCACCGGTTATTAGCCGTAGCGACGTACGATCACCAATAGCATCGAGATCATGAATCACACTGGCTTGTTAGGAAGCCGTACATCTGGAAGACCATTTTCGAGGATATATTGACATCGTCCATAACATTATAAGTCAACGTCGGGTGGGGGGGTATTTCGTCATCCTTTACATCATTACATCCGCCATTTACAACACCTTTCCCGAGTATACCTCCAAAGGCAAAGTCTCCTCATCCCGTCATATCTGCTAAAACTCGGAAGCACGAAATGCAAACTCGTCATTCCTCTAGTGGAATTCGCCGATGCGGGGTCCGAAGTACTCGCCCTCGGGGAGGGTGAGAAGACGGCATGGCTTGCCCTCGCAACCCTCGGAGACGACGCTGTTACCCCACCACTCAAGATCAACGACTTGCCACTGAAGAGCGAAGAAAATGACGATTCCGGAAATGGCAATACCGCAGGAGAAGGCGGCGGAAAGGACGAAGTTGTACTGCGGACAATGTCAGCTTCAGGAATACCATTACCGGGGGGGGCGACGACAACTCACCTTGGACCAGAGACCCAGGAAGCGACCCTTGAGGTAGATCCAAGAGAAATAGGCAATGGGAACCGAGGGCCACACAAAGGCCATGTTGTAGGGAGCCCAGACGAGGCAACCGTACATCATGGCGACGGGGTGGATTTGACGGACCCATTTCCACTTGGGGAAGGCCTTGTTGAGACCCCAGAAGAAGAGGACAACGACGATGCCTATCGACGGGGTTAGTAAGCTAGGGCACGGCCAGGAATACTGTCAGGGTTGGGCTTTACCGAGAGGGAATCCGACCAGAGTCGCAGTGTACTGGCCACCCGCGCCCCAGATCTTCTTAGGTCCAACGGTGCCCCAGAGGACCGAAGCAGTGAAGAAAGTCTTTGGGCTTGTTAGCTTAGAGTTACAGAGAGGGAAGGGCAACGAAGGGTCGAGGCCTGGAAGACTTACGTTGATACCGGGGCAGGTCATCCTGTACTTGGCTTCCTCGGTGCAAATACCAGGAAGCGACATTTGGAATTTGATAACACCCAAGCAAACAAAGGTGGAGACGAATGTTGCAAGGATTTGCGCCCAGAAAGTATGGCGGGGAGGGATCTTGACATAGTGTGCGAGCTTCAAGTCGTTGGAGAACCACACGGCGTGCGCGCACGTCACGTAGCCAAAGGACTTGAAGTAGTTCATGGCCAGCGCGTTACCTTCCACCCAGGAGCCGCCGATGAACTCGGCGAGCACGTTGAGGGTGACCTCGATACCGGTCATGGCCTTGATGATGCCGACCGGGATGACGAAGATGAGGCAGAGCATAATACCGTAAAAGACAACACCGACGGTGGTGTACGTGGGCCAGGCAGCGATACCGGCACAGCCGAGGCCAACGGCTATCACCAAGACGGACAAGTACCACCACTCGGGCACTTCGGGGTAGGCTGGGATCATGTTAGCGGTATACCACGAAGCGGGAGATGGGAACACCAACCCTTCATGAGACGGTTGTGGACGTCAAGAACTTGGTCCTTCTCGATGTCGCTATCCTTCTTGAAGCTGCCGATCAAAGCCTTGAAGCCAAGAACGATCTCATGACGGTGATACAGTGCGGCGTAAGTGATGGTGGCCGTATAGACGGCGAAGAAGAACATGTAGATGGTGATGTTGGCAGCTCCCAGGAAAGGAGGAGAGTAGGCCTCGTACGCCTCCTTGTCGAAGAGTCCGTGCTCGTTGACAGCACGCGACACGTTGTAGAGGGATCCGAAGTGGTCGTAGACCTTGTTCGTGTTGATGGGCAGGTATCCCGTGTTGTAAGTGTTGGTGTACCAAATAGCCAGCACGACGAACATGGAGAAGAAGGTGCCGATGAACTTGCTGAAGGTCGAGAAGAAGGGAACCATCAACGGATCGGCGTTGTCGTACAAGCTGTATCGCGTTAGTAAGTAGGCAAGCATGTTCGTGGGGGCGCGGCTGATGCTTACAGGATGTTCCAGTCCAGGGTAGGGAAGGGGTTGAGGCCGAGACCGCTGTTGAAGCCCGTGATGGTCGCCAGGTTGCGGTTGTTGGGGGCGATCCAGGTCATCCAGCTGAAAGCGCTGAGGGCCGTGAAGATGTAGTTGGGGAACCAGAACCACACGAACATGGCAGCGAAGGTGACGTAGAAGAACTTCTGCCTGCTGACGCGCCACATGCTACGGAACGGGCCGTCGACGGCGGGGTTCTTGTCGGTGTGGAAAGCAGAGTTCAGGGCGATGGTCACCAGCGACGCAGGCCAAACGCAGTACGAGGGGTAGACGAGGAAACGACGGCAGAGACCGGCGAGACCGTATCCGATGAAGTTGGTCGACAGCGAGATCAGCAGCTGGTAACCGAAGTTGGCGGCGTACGACTGGTTGAAGAACTTGGGCAGCCTCGAAGGTAAGTTAGCACAAGACCGACCCGGAGTCAAAAGACATGGAACACAAAAGCACAAACTCACCACTGGGTCCAGATGATGTAGTTGGTATACGGGATGTTGTAGGCGACGTTGGCCATGATGGTGATGAGCATGTGCTCTTTACGGTTGAAGGGGCCAGGGTTGAGCGAGACACGCTGGCCGGCGACGGTGAAGCCAACATCGGGGAGGAACTTCTCCCAGAGCTTGCCGAGAGGGTAGGCGAGCAGCTGGGCGACGTTGGCCAGAATGGTGATGGAGGGGTAGCGAACCGAGAAGAGCTGATTGACGAAGGCGAGCAGGGCGGAGAAGAGGAGGCCGATAACCCAGGCACGGATGGTCGAGACGGGCATGGCAGGGTCGTCGTGGTTGTCGACGACGGCGCGCACCTCGGCGTAGGGAGAGTTGCCGGTGATGAGGGCGGCCTCGAGCTTCATCTCCTGGATCAGGGTCTCGTGTTTCTCAGGGTTCTCAAAGACGTCGTCGTTGGCGAGGAACGCCTCGATCTTCTCGATGATGACGAGCGGGAAGTTGGGGTCCTTCTCGTGGAGCTTGTGGACGTTGAACATCATCTCGCGGACCTCCTCGAGGGACATCTGCGAGGCGAGCTCCTTGGCCTCGAGCAGGTCGTCCTCGGTGACGTTCAAGTCCTTCTCGACGTGCCCGTTGTACTCGGTGCCATCAGGGTGGTTTTCGACGATCTGGAAGAGGAAGCATCAGCACATGCGGCGGGGCCGAGGAGGCTCAAAGTCAAAAGGACTCACAGGAGCGGCCTTCTCGTTCGAGATCACGCCGCCTTGGGCGGCGGGCCGTTGTTCACGGATGTCGGACATGGTGTTGCGCTGGGTCAGTACTCTTCACCTCTTGACAAGGAGGTATGGAAGGCTGATTTGCTGAACCCGTGAACTCTCGGGCTGGAGATTTGCCAGTGACCGAGATCAGGAGCGTCCGGCTTGAGGAGGGGCGAGGGCACCTCGGCCTTTTAACATGCCTTTGCAACGCAGTGAGCTCTCCAGTTACATTGGGGTGCTTATCGGCAGTGGAGCTATACCGTAGGTTCCCGACGGCTTGGCAACGGGCATGCAGAGAGGGGCCATTGCACGAGGGTTGCAGCCTCGCCACCAGACAATCCTCGAAGAGCTGGGATGTCGAGCAGAGCTTCCCTCTTCTGGAACATGGGTGGTGTAGCAAGGGTGATCCGGGGCTGGAACCGAGTTGGACGGCCCCCCCCCCCCCCCCTCTCCCCCTCCTCCCTCCCACCAATACTGCGGCCGTAAGATTGACCTTCTACATTTCGACAAGCCCGATATCAAAGGGTCTTGAAGAGGATCATTCTGCATTCTCACCTGGTCCTCATTGGGCGTGCTCCGTCGGTGGTACGGCCCTCAGTATGGGATAGGTTGAGGCGACATATCGTATGAGGAAGACGGGACAGAAAGACACCAACACGGCCAAATCATCACGCCACATGTTCCGGTACGCATACGGCGAGCTTTTCAGAAGAACCACAAACTTCCAGACGGTTGTCGAAGTCCTATAGACGGATCGTCTTCTCTCCGCCTTTCCTGGTATGGCATGGCATGGCATGCCGTGGGCGGAAACTAAGCCCTCCACCTCCCACCCCCGCTACTCCTCCTCCTTTCCGGCCTCCATCTGGCCTCCCTATGGGGCCACTTGTAGACGGGACCCCGGCCTCTTACATGGGTGACATTTTACAGCTGATATCTACCCGTCGCTGCGAATGCTACCGCGTTTTACCGTGGACGTCGCACTCTGTGCGGATACGGACACACTGCACACATTCCCGACACGCCGGGTATCTTGGTCTCGGGCCATCGAGTGCGCGCTTCCACTGGCTTTGCCAAGAACTGCTATTCCGGAGTGACTTGTTCCAGTCAGGAAGGTATGCAAGGTCTCGGCGAGGAACTTTTGGAAGCGTCAATCAGTGCGGCTGCGAGCCCGAGTTTGCCAATCAGATCGCCGGCGTCGGTTCTTTTGCGTTTCGCCCGCGCCGCTCGCCATCATGATGGATTCGTGGTGGTGCGACACTCACGCCCGCCCGCCCGCCCGCTCGCCTACCCGCAGACAGATTGCAGGCCGTGTCTTACAAACTGTCGATTTTCAAGAAATCGTTGGAGAACACGCTTGACCAAGTAGGACCCCGTTGTCACCGGGACGTGTCCAACGGCCCACAGCCCCTTGCCGTGTCGCCTTGGCTCATTCGACAGGCGAGTCAGAGAAACCTGGGGAATGCAGCGAGGCTGTAGCTGATGCGCGCGCCGCGTTACAACGCAGTGCCCCGGTGGCCTTTGCAGCCGGGCGGCCTGCGCCGAGGGAAGTGTCATCGAAGTGGCACAGAGGGACGGTAGACGAAGGTTGACCATCCCGTTTGACGAAATCGCCACTCGGATTTGGCCTAGCGCACTCAAGACAGACAGACAGACACACACACACACACACGGTCGAAGGACCCTGGCGTCCTCCCTCGCCCTCCCCGTTGAGCGGTTCCAAGACCCTCAATATGCCATCCAAGGACAGGAAACGTCAAGAAATTTGCCCCGAGAGCTTGTCGCTACGCCAAGCATGCACACCACTGGTGGCAGTGGGAGGAGGCGACAACGTCGGCGGCGTCCGAGGAAACCCATTACATCTTCCAACACACGCGCGGAGCGGGCGTCCATCTACGGATATTCAGAGCCCATGAGTCCCTCGTTCCAATCTATTCGTCCTCCTCCCTTACGGAACGGAACAAAGTCCCTGTTCCACCCAACCCCCACTCTCCGCTCCATCTGACCAACTCTAATTACCCGCAATGCGCCTGGTTGTGCGGCTGGTGCGGCCATTCACAAGCCTCGATTTCGCCAGAGTCGTATCATATTGTCTCACTGATATGGCAAGTTAATTAACCTTGATTGCCCGCCATGTGAGCAATGCAGTGCTTTGGGAAGATCGTTCTTATCGACCACAGGCCTTGCCCATCCCTCCACTAATCCCTAGTATCAGTAGCTTGCTTATTCTGCGGGCCAAGCAGCGATTCTACGGTAAACCGGCCATCCTGGTTCGTTCTCCATTCAACGGTTGGTCTGTCCCCATCCCATCAGGACCGCTGGTGAGGATTGCTGTCGACCTCGAAAGACAGGCAGTCGGTTCTGCGCCTTGCCATGCTCGAAAAAAAAAACGGACAAGGTTTTCCTCACCTCGTCTTCCATGGCCAGGCCGCAGGGTCATTTGAATATGGTGGGATTCCCTCAGGGCACTATCCATCTTGGCATATGACAAACCACCAACCATATCGATTTCCTCTGATGCACCGAAGTCTTGGCTTGCAGGGACATATCACCAGCCAATCCCAAACCCACCACCCGTCTTACACTATAAGAGCACATTTTCTCGGGTTAACCCTGATAGGGACTGATGGTCTCCGGGTTATCTCTTTTCGGCAGGTTATATCTCGGCGTTGCGATTGGCCGTTGTCGCGCCACCCAATGCAAAAGGCGCGTGACTGCTCATATCCCTCATCATTCTGGTGTTTATTTTTCTCTTTCACACGACAGGCAGACACTCAAAGCGTGCTGCCAAGACACGCCTGGGACCTTTGTGCGGCGCGAACCCCCACGTCTGACGGCATCGCAATGCCCCGTTTTGGGGACTTATTCCAGGACATCACCAGAGCTGGTTCCGTACCTGGAATCTTGTCCGTGAAGGCCGGCGTGGTTTCTTGGCCATGTTCCCCTGCTGATTCGCGCCTGACTACTCGCTCAAGCGCACTGTTGCCTTGGCCGGCAGAACGAATCCGAGGCCATCGTTTGGCCGTCTAGTTCCAGGGACCGGACGATTGACGGAGGAGCTACACGAGAGGCTCAGAACGAAGCTTTGCACAAGACACGGGATTGCGCGCAACTCGCCGTGGAAGACTTCTTAGTTACTACTTGGCGATACCAATGCTCCGTCTGGGCGCATGTTGCCGCCTTGGTAAAATCTTGGGAGTCTCGGGGGGGGAGGGCGCTGTGGCCTACGAGTATTGATTTTCCTCCTTATCTTCCCCGGCTTCCTCCTTATCTTTCCCGGCTTCGCTCCGGAAATTTAGCGTTGGAATTGGTCGGTATCGTTGCTGCGTCGCGAGTAGCGCGTGCTGGTCTGGGATGCGTCAATAACCCCTAAAGGCACCCTGCCTATCGCAAATCTTGGCATGCAGCTACTAGTCCCACGGGCGCATAGCCTAAAATGGCTTTTGCGCCGCTTCTTTTCTTCATGGAAGGATTATGAGCAGCCGTCGAGAGGGTGTCGTGTGCTGCCGTCTCTCGACTGCCATTTGATCTCGATTCGAAGGAAACGATGACTTTGACAGTGGGATTATGTTGAGTCATCTCAAACAATATGCTTGGCCGACCATACCTCATCTTAGACCGTGAAAAAGTATGATCACTACGGCGTTTTTGGTGTCTCTTACCCGGCCGCCATCCATCAAGCGCGCGAAACCCCCGTCCGTCATTCCTTGGCACTTGGGTAAAGATAGTGAGCAATCTGTACAGAGTACCGCCTCAGCTAAGAAGGTGTCTCAACACGACACCTGAGGAACCCCAGTCGCTTAGCTGGTCTCTCGGGCAAAAGCATGCCGCCACCTGTCTCCGAGAGTCTGGTACCGAGGCCAGACCCTCGCGGATCGCGGAGGACTGTCGAGAGATATCTTTTCTTGCTGACAACCACCCCTAAGGCCAGGCGATCATGTGCTTCGCTGCGTGATGTCGCCTCCACCTGCGTAACTCTTGCATCTTCTTGCGTCTTATCAGACTGGGTCTGACCAGCGATCTGCTGTGTGCGTATGGAAGCGGTAGGTTGGCCGGTGTGACGAGCACTCCACAGCTGTCATTGTCATGTGTTGGAGCTGAGTGCAGGATGCGTGTAGGATTCGGCCACTTCTCGATGGCGACTTGCCACAAGCGGGCACTTTTGTTGGACTGCGGCGTGGAGGTCCAAGACGAGACTCGGTTAAAGGGACCTTTTCACGATCAGTGACGTAGCATCCGCTCGATGAAAAAGGAATGCAGCATTATTGTTTCCTCCTCTATATGTCTAACAACATGTTGATGAACGCTCCAATGACCAAAATACTTCCAATCCCTGTGGACCAAACCCCATAACGCTAACCAAACCATCCAACCGGCACGCTACCACCCAACCCATTGTGTTGAGACCCAAGTGCATCCGTGGTTGTATGTAACCTTTCTGCATACAACCCATCCCGTTCCGTGTACCATGTGGAAAGAAACCCAGACTGGCGGTGCAAAAGGCCCGGGGAAGAAGGGCTTCTCTTATCGCCGGCCCGACTGCATGGAATGAAGGATCGAGCGTGCGCCGGCAAAGTCCAGCTCCTGCAGAGTCTCATCCCATAGTCGGTCTGCGCAAGTTCTTCCCTCTGGCGTGTACACAAATGCGGGGAAACTTTGTTACGCTCTGTTAGTATCGTGGCTCGGGGAATCTGGATTCATTGCGAAGGCGACTTACGGGTGAATTTTCCAGTCCATCAGGTAGCTGCCGTGTGTCTCGTCTCCTTTGACCACCGCGGCATCGATGTATGTCGATGCACCGTCCTTTAGGCTTCTCGCAGTCAAGGCTTTGACTGTCCCCATGAAAGCCTTCTGAGCGATATTGAGATGTTGATGGAGCGATGACCCTTTGGTCAGGCCCGGGTCCACAAGATTCAGGATCACATCCTCCTTGGGGACATAGGATGCGAGCTTGGTGATGGTGAGCTGGCCCAAGAGCTTAGACGTCTGGTATCGATCGAGAGGATCAAAGTTGGTCTCGTCGTCCAGTGCCGCAATCAACGGCACCTTGTCGTGCTCCCGAAACTTGGCGCCGAAGGTGGAGCCCGAGCTGACGATGGTCAACCTGCTCGCCTTCCCAGCGGTGTTCTTTGACTTGAGGATGGGCAGAAGCAGGACTGCAAGAAGTGTGGTCGATAGGTAGTTGACCTGGACCGATTCCTCGTGGCCATGGGATGAGAGACTGAAGGTCCCTATCGCCATGCCGGCGTTCAAGATGACAGCATCGATCCGAGAGAGGGCTGAGCAGCGATCCGCAAACGCCTGGATGGATTTGTACGACATCATGTCCAAGGACCAGACCTCGATGTTAGCGGCGGGATGTTTCTTCTTGAGCGTCTCTGCCGCAGCCTCCCCCTTCCCCAATGAGCGGACGGCGATGATGAGTCGGGACACATGGTGGTCTAGCAGCATTTCGGCACACGTCAAGCCCAAGCCGCCGTTGGCTCCGGAGATGATAACCGTCTGTCCTGCGAGAGAGAGGTCTTTGGGTGGCATGAGAGGCGTGGAGCAAAACTGAGACGCGAGAAAAATCTTGACATCTCCCCCAGCGAGAGGCGGGAGATCGATGGAGCTGGTCATGGTGGACGGAAGATGTTAATGAACTGAAAGTTGGTTGTTCTCCGTCGCTGATGCTTTCTGCGATGTGTTGAAGAGTATATACACTTGGGAACCCATTGTTGACGACTTGGTTCCTTTTTATACTAGAAAGAGAGAGAGAGAGAGGAAGAGAGAGACAATGTGCGTGCGACGGCATTGCTGTCATCACAAGTGATGGCGTCTCTAAGTCCGAGTCCCACGCCGGCTGTGCGCAGTTAGCGGAGCCCTGCTGACGATGGCGAAGACATTGGGGAAGTCTTATTGACGATTGAGAATGGACTCGACTATTTCCCCAGAACAGAAAGTGATTGGTTTCCTAAAAAGGACAACAGTTAAGATCATCGGTTGGGAACCGGGGAGTAAGCCGGGGCGCGGTCGGTGCCAAGATCCATAAAGCCGGTGATAGTCACGTGATTAAGCGGGGTTATAGTCCATAACAAACTTCCGCTAGGCCGAAAGAGGGAAACAATCGATAGACTGGTTAGTGTTTCGTGGCTGCGTCGCATTGGCTTTGCCCCGTTCACAGGAATTCGGAGTCTGACATGTCAACCCAGTGGTTCCAAGAACCAAGAACAACGTAGAGAGAGAAAGAGAGAGAGAAGTGCCGGGTCTCAAGTCTTCTCTCCCCATTGTCCAATCCGTCCATTCACCTGCTCCTATCGACTGTTTTCCTCTTTAGGCAAACGGTATTTCTCGCCTGTCTCAGCTTGCTGCTGAAGCCTCATTTGGGCTTGCCCCTGGGCACTATCAACGTATCGTCCTTGGACCCGGTCCCTCGTTGCTGGGATCTGCCCCTGTCTTTTGCTTGTCAAGCGCCATTCCATTCGGGGGGCGACACCAAGCCCTCCTTCGTCTCAACTGGCTTAAGTCCGTCTGGGATCGAGATGGGTACCCAAAAGCACCCAGGTATGGCTCCTTCGAGGCCAGCAGAGACGCTTGCATCTAATTTCATCATCGTAGCCAACAAAGGCTTTGCTTTTGTTATCACCGACACCTCCGGGAAGCCCAACTCTGAGGACCGGAAGCTGATCCGCAGTCATGTTATGCGAGGCAAGAATAGGCGAGCTTCTTTTGGGAACAGGAAGCCTCCATCCGTACGGATCACGGAAAAGGCGTCCGACCCTTCTCGAGAAGTGAGCCAAGTGTATCACGTGCCGAACGATATGTATATGGTTCAGTTTACCGAAGAGGTCGACGCCGCCTCCCGGGCCATGCTGTTCGAGTGTGAGTGGCCCTGCCCTTTCGCGCGCCCTGTTACAGATGCTCAAAGACATGATGGCAGTTTACGGAGCGATCAAGGAGGCCATGTACCCAGCCGAATGGTGTCTCAGATTCGACGATAGCAAGACCTCATGGTTCTACTGGCTGTTTTCAGACGCTGCCTTCATGCACTCCATCTTGTTCACTGTCTGTTTGTTACACGACTCCATCCGTGGTGAGACGAGCAAGCGAACCAGCTTCCACGTGTGGAAAACGCTGAACCTTCTGAACCGGAACATCTCTGATGGGAGCCTGGCTCTCGCCGACTCCACCATTGCAACGGTCGTCTCCATGTGCATGGTGTCTGAGGTCTTCGGACACCGTGATAGTGCCGCCGCGCATGTCAGAGGCATGCGCCGCATCGTCGAACTACGAGGCGGCGTCGAGAGTTTTCGGCACAACCTACAGTTGCAGGTCAAGATTTGTCGGTGAGTGGATCATCTGGGTGCCGTATCGAGCATAGCTGACGTCGAGCAGCGTCGACATTGGCTGGAGCCTATGTACTGGGGAGAAACCTTTATACTACAGGGACAACATCTCATGGGAGTCTGCATTCACCTCCATACTCAGCAATCCACCCATCGGGTTCGAATACGACCGACACCTGAGTGACGTTCGCCTGTTTGTGGATTCGACTGATCGCCGGATGGGTAATGTCTTCCAGGACTTGCACGACTTCTCCCGCTTGGCCAATTTCCTCGTCAGAACGGGACGAAAGATCGACCCCAATGGGTTTCAGGACCTGATGATCTCCATTCAGTATCGCCTGCTTCACATAGACCCGATCGAGCAGAGCAGTGTGTCCGAGATGTTCCGTCTTGGAATGATCAGCTTCATCTCGACTCTCTTCCTCAAGGTACAAGGGGCCAAGATCGAATTGACCTTTTTGGCTGGCCAGTTTCGATCCGCATGCCAGAGCCTTGACGTATCAGAATTGTCGACCACTACCGTCCGGCTCATGTTTGCCTGGGCACTCGTCGTTGGCGCAATATCCGTATTCGACGAGTGCGACGATCTATGGCTGTTGCCAAAACTCGCATCCCTGCGCGACTCTCTCGGCCCAACGTGGCCGGAAGCAGTGGCGAGCTTGAAGGAAGTCATGTGGATGGAAATGGTCCACAGTCCGACCGGTGTCAAGGTCTTCCAGAAGCTTGTACTGCACATTGCTCAAATACCTCTCGAGGGGCCTTTGCTCAGTAGGCGGTCTTCGACCACTGTCGTCAATCTCGAGACATATGGCTGAAGCGAGTGCTTTCTCAAGTACCGTGCTTAACAATACTGGAAACAATCGAAACGCAAGCCGAATTACTGCATAGTATGCGAAAGCTTGCCCAACCGCCAAGCGGCGGACATCGTTGAGCCGCGACACGAGTGCTGATAGCACCAAGAGAATCATTTCTGCCTCACGTCATCCGGCGCAATTACCCCAAAGAGAACCTGCGTTTGCCCTTATCGGGGGTATGTATCCAATAGCTGTGGTTTGTTGAGGTCCTTTCTGCAAACCTGCATGCTATGAGGTTGGATATCTCCCGACGATGAACATGCGTATCATCTATGTAACAAGGAGCCAGAGCCGTGACCTAGGAGCATCGCCAGTTTCGTTGGGTTAAGAACATACAACAAAACGGTCGAGATGGCAGCACTCGAAGCTTCGGCGGAATTCCGCACGTCTCACCCCTCGGCGTTGACGTCTGACCAGCTTGCCTTAGATGCACCGCGGCTGCCAGGAATCTGACAGAGGTTTCCCGAATTGTTGCTTTATACTCTGTGCGCTGAGGGCTACAAGAAACTCCGGGCCTTCTTCAACGCGAGCATGACACAACAACCTCTGGCCATCATCCGACCCAGAATAGAAGCCGAAGTCTCCGCATTCATCCAGGAATTGCATGCCCAGGACATTCCCTTCGGCACCAGAAGTGGTGGCCACGATATGACTGCTGCCCAGGCTCGAGGAAGAGACGGGGTCATGATCGACTTGAGGGCCATGGGTAGCATCTCCATCGCCGAGGACAAGAAGTCTGCTCGCATCGGTGGTGGGACTCTGAGCATCAAGCTCTCAAACTTCCTGCAGCAGCACAAACTCCTCACGCCCCACGGCTGGTGCCCGACTGTAGGGTAGGCATCGTGGGCTGGGCCCTTGGCGGAGGCTACGGTTATACAAGCGCGTTCCACGGACTCGGCGTGGACCAAATCCTTGGCGCACGCGCTACAGACGGCAGGACCGTGGATACCGACGACCACCCTGACCTGCTCTGGGCTCTGAGGGGCGTTGGCAACAGCAACTTTGGCATCTTGGTTGAGCATCGAATCAAGCTTTATCCCAAGACGGGCTTCCTGGCCGGGTTCCTCGGATTCCCCGCCGCAGAGGCCGGCGACGTGCTGATCAAGTTCGGAAAGTTTGAGAAGGAGCTGCCGATCAACTTCATTGGCGAAGCAACACACATGACCCTGCCCGGTGTCGGTCCCGTGCTCGCGTGGTTGTCTGCTTGGACCTCGGAGGACGATGATGTCGACAACGGGTGGAGGTTTCTGGAGAGGATGAAAGCGCTCGCTCGGCACACCGATACTCAAAAAGTCTCGGTAGGTACGCTTCTTTGTTACTCTTCCAGGCAGTTGGGAGGGGAGAGCGCGACTGACCAATCTATTTGTAGTTGACGACTACACGTTCCTGAACACAATTCCTTCGCCCACCAACACCCATTGGCACCCTCGTCTCGGGACATTTGAATACCTTGCGCCAGAATTGGCCAACGTGTTTGTGTCCCATCCGCCTCCAGGAGCGGCTTGCGCAACAGTTATGCACACCGCTCATGGACGAGCCCTCAACAAGAAACCGGGGGCATGCCACCCGCCGCGCACGAGGCGCCGCATCGCGGCGATCTCAGTAGGCATAGTCGACGCCACAGCGCAGGCAGCCGAGTACGAGAAGTACAAAAATTGGGCGGACGACATGGTGGACGATTTGTGCAAGCAGCGGCATGCGCTGCTCTACGGGTGCCGTAACCTGAGTTCGGACACGGACGTGGACTGGGTGGCCACATACGGCGAGGAGACGGCGGCTAGGCTGAAGGAGGTTAAGAAAAAGTTTGATCCCGCAAACGTCTTCAAGAACGGCTACCCACGACTGGATCTGCTACGAGGAGAAATCTGGGCCGCGGCGGCCGCCCCCATTACCGTTTGTAGGTTGCATTTAGCACGCCTGTGACGTGAAAGAGAGCTCTCGGCCCGGGGCTTCTCTTTGCGACCCCGCATATGCAGTTAGCATCCCGTGAGGTCTCGTAGTTTCTCAATATTTCAAGCGCCGAATGAGGTAACATCTCTTGGCGGACTTGCCGGTGTTCTTATGCAAATGCCCCAATGCCAACTGCCGCTCCCGAGATCTCCTGATCGTCCAGGGCGACGTTCGACTGAGGATGGCCATGGATAAAGCAACATTTGGCTCTGTGGTATGTGTGACCTCGTCGACCGTGGGAATTGCACCCTAACGAGAAGCCGGTCGGGCCGAGCCTGGTTCGTCATGTCTTGTCTACGATCAGCAATTTTGAATCACCCGCAATTGGCGCTAGGTAGGCGGTCTGGGCAACGCTTAAGTGCGCGCAGCGTGTGGAACGCTGTCCCCCACGAGCCTGTGGTCATGCGAGGCGAGTGTTGGAAACCCCAGCATTGATCAGGAACAGAAGCCCTAGAACGAACCCGACAGATACGCCCCGCCCCTCTTGGACGAAGATCCGTCTGATCTGGGTTGCTCTTTTCGGGCCGGCCAATAAGACTCAGCGACCCAGGTACGCCTTTGATAGGGTTTTGAACACGGGGTACAGCATCCGCTGGCACGACCGCAGCCGGACGGACCAGCGATGATGGCAAGTGGCAAGTGGTAAGCTAGCCGATAGGGCTTGCTGAACGTCAGCGGCTGAGTCTTCAAGCAGGCCGGAGGTAGATAGAGGGTGCCCAGGATAGCCAGACCAAAATGACAAAGGCACCCGCGGTTGCTTCGTAGACGCTAGGTAGAGCCTCAACCCTCTACCAACTGATGTCTGCTGGTTCCGTGATGTGCTAGCCTACGAGACGCGCGGGATGAGCCTGAGACGGAAGACTGAGGAGCGCACCAAGGGACGCACGGCTACGGCGGAGGGGGGGATGGTATCGAAGTTCATCAAGACTTGAAGACGAGGAACAGGGGTGGGTTTTCGCAAGTGTCACCCGGAGGCTTTTGCCCGTGAAAGCAGCGAACCCTGCTCGACATCCTCTGGGAATTTTCTGGAGTGGACTCGCAAATCTACAGCCCTCTCATAGGTGTAAGTAAGTGGCTCCCTCCATGGACCTAACGGAAATAGCCTCGCCTCCGGGAGCGCGAACTGGTTTGCCCAGGCGCTAGGACGGTTTGTCAGGCGTGCAAGTGCGCTAACATCGTGATCCGGTTACGGCGGCATAACTCGTGGGTAGGTAGCAGAGGCTGAAAGGGGCAAAGATCATCGACTTTGCCAGAGTGAATGAGGTACCGGTATTCCCTTCTCACGTAGCTGGTACCGGGAAGCTCAACCGAGTTTTAAGGTGTGGCGACTTGACGACCCTGCGTGGCCGGCAACAGCGCTGACAACCGGCACAAGGAGAAGAAGACAAGAACCAACGTCCCCCCAGCACCTCCATCCCCTCGCTCCGCAGCTCTTTCGGGTACCTGCTACATAGCGTCTTTTGGTGAGCTTACTCGCGATCTCGCGATCTCGCGCATCGCTTCCAGTCCGCGGAAAAAGGAGAAACGACGAAAGAAAAACGCATCGGTGTCCTGTGGAACCATGCAATGCAGAAGCGAGATTGTCGGCGCCTCGGAAGAGCAGGGTTACAATGGGTCACTGCTCTTGCGCCAAACCGGTGACGGACTGGAGTTTAAAGCGGTCAGTGACGATACTGCGGCATGATTATGAGTAGGCTATCTGAACGATGTCAAAAGCTATCATGTATGCCGATTTTTGACATCCAAGACTTTGTCTGTGCAAAAGTCGATGTGGTGTACTGTCAGGAGAAGGATTGGACGGGTGCGTACGAGTACTACATACTGCTAAACCTGCTGAGAGTTAACTCCGGCAACTGGACACCGCTACCGTGAGCTGCAGTGGCCAAAGGACGCGCGGTGACTTGGATGGTATTTCAAAGATGGAGATTTGAAAAGCCCATTGGACTAGTGCAGGGAGTGTCCAGCCAGTCTTGACCTCTGAATGGTCAGCTCGCTCCAATCTGCGCATCCTCTAGTACCAGGCCGAAGTTAATTACCCTCTGTGCCCCTCGCCTCTCGACAACTCGGCAGCTGAGAATTTCGTCTTCTTGGCCGTTCAGTGTTCCCCCACATTTGCGTCATAGCACCATCCCATCCCATCCCATGTACCATAGCACAAGTACAGGGTGGCAGGGGTAAGTTGATTACCCCTATGATGTTACCCCCCATAGCTGACACCAGAATAGAGGGGGAATATTCACCAAAAGTGAAGTCCCGTAGTAGAGGGGTGAACATTAGTTACCTGACAGGGGGAGACGGGTGGATGGGGCTGAGACGTGCGTGGCTGCGACGGCAGATGTCAGACCAAAGCCTGTTTGACGAGTCCCTCGCGGGGAGGAAATGTGGCGCAGTGTCGCGTTTTGTGACAGGCATCGCAAATACCGTCACAGTTTTCAAGTAAACTACGGGTTTGCCACTGGTGGCAAGCCGCACTTTAATCACAAAGCTGCTGGAACTGTCCAATGATAGCAACCGGAGTCACTCGGAAAGCTGGAGGGTTGGCAGAGACACCACACGTCGGATGTAGGCTACCATTGCTACACGTGTGTGTGCACTACGGACAGTATCCGTACATACTATGTATCTCGTAGCACTCATTAGTATCCTGGTGCTTCTCAGTTGAACAGGGGAGGAGATGGGATGGGAACGGCAGGCCTCTGAGTGGACAAGACGAAGTGCTGCTGGCAAATGACTCCATTCTAGCGGGATGCTAGTCCAACGAGAGGCTGTCGAGGGAGTGGTTCCCGGCCGATCAGTCAAGGTCCAAGGTCACATTGATAGGTGTGGAGTTCGTGTGGCCCGCTCAGCAAAGGCGTTTTGGTCTCCGGAAGGGGTTCCTGGCACTTTCGGCCAATAAGAATGACTTAGATTTCCGGAGAAAAGCTCCGGATCTCACTTGGCGAACGAAAGCAGGCCGTTCGGGCATACGTCGTCATGGCACAGGAGTTAGCTCGCAAGCATGCTGCCTCCCTCCCGGAACCTCTTCTACTGACTGGTATTGGCAGCCTATCCGTTGCTGGATATCACAATGTCAATCTACGCCCCCCTCTCAGATCCTGTCGGGCTCGCATGGGTCTCTCTAGCTAGCCCAACACTCTCTGCAATAGCCATCAAACATCCCGATCCGGGAACTGGCACTGACGCTCCAGTCCACACCATTATGGGGGTTATCGTTCCCTTGCCCTGCCCTGCCTTGTCTTGCCTTGTCGCTACTGGGCCAAGCTCACGCCGCCATGCCCCCAAGTGGATAGCAGTCATGAAAACATGGTCAGGCCAGCTCCCCGCACCCGGTCTCGATTTGACTGTACGTACTTTATAAAGAGAATTGAACGTCTTCTTCGCCTTCATCCCCCCGCCCCCCCAGAAAGAACAAAAAAAGAGAAAAATCTGGGCATATACGTATAGGTATATATATAAATATATATATACATATATATACGTTGCTGGCAGACTTCAACGTCACGCACAGTCGCACGTCATCAATTCATCACTGTGAACCCCTAGGACTATCTTCAAGAGCCAAGGGCCACATATTCACCTACACGACTATCGACCTCTGAGAAAAGTAGCCTACAACAGGCACCGTTGCTCTAAACATCGCTATCCCAGGACCCAAGCCTAACCAACTCATACGGGCAACAGCCTGGGAGGCCTAGATACCCTTGCAAAGTCTCTTCGTCCCCGGTCGCAGCCCGGCTCAGTATAGGAGAAAGGCAATCATGGATTATTACTCTGCTAGTGGTGCCAGCACATCTGAGCAAGGTGGGTTACCGGGCAGAGCAGCATCTTTCAAACCAACGCCTAACTCTTTCGCCAACTCAACAGACAGAACGAAGTCACAGCAGAAAGAGCACGAACAACAACAACAAAGGACGCAGTTCCTCTTCCACCAGCAGCAGCAACGTTTGCAACAACCGATTGGGCCCAGAGCAGACAGCTCGCAATCGGCTTTCGTGTCACTTTCGGCGTTGAACTCAGCCCATGGGGCACCTCCATCGGTGGTGGACCGACACTCTTCGACCTCGACGCAAAGCCCTTCGGGATGGCCCGACTCCCCCGTCAGCAATGTCACAGACTCGCTGTCTTCGCCAACGAGCTCCGTCATCTCGCCTCCAGCACCGCCGATTGACCCCCTTCTCCTCGGTTCAGCAAAAGGGACAGAGGGCCCTCGAACGGAAGACGCCAGCGAGGCACCAAAACGTCGTAGAGGCCGGCCCAGGCTCTCCGATGCCTCTCCCGAGACCGCCAGCGCGGTGGCACCGACACCTACGAAGGTACAGAAGAAGAGCGCCTCTCGACGTACCTCGACCGCGTCGGCCAGTGGCGTTGACGAACACGCAGACGGGCACAGCGGCAGCACCGTCAACGACAAGAAGAACCGCATCCGCGCGCGCAACCGCGAGGCCGCGTATAAGTGCCGGCAGAAGAAGCAGAAAGGCATCGAGGAGCTGCAGACTCAAGAAGCAGTAATGGAGAACATCAACAAGAGCCTCAACAGCGAAGCGGCACAGCTCCGTGGCGAGATCCTGATGTTGAAGAACATGGTGCTTCAGCACGGCGGCTGCGGGTGCCCGTACATCGAGGAATACATTTCCGGAGCCGCACAGAACCTGGTGCAGTCGAGCATGGCGGCGTCCGCCTCAGCGGCCGGCGGCGGCATGCAGATGCACAGCCAGGACTGTAGAAACGGAACAGGAGAGGAAGGATACATTGACTGGAAACTGTTCGACATGGATACCAAGGCTGACATGCCTTCCCTGGAGTCGGAAAGCGGCTTTTCTGGCTACGACGACCTCGCCTCTCACAGCGCGAGGGCGCATTCCCAAGAGGTCTCAATGGATTGAAAATCGGAAGTTGTAGAGCTTGAAAAAAAGAAAAAAAAAAGAAAGAAAGAAAGAAAACGCCGGGAACTGTGGGAATGATTCAGCCTCACCCATCATCTCTTGAACAGCACGGCGTTCTGGCACATCATTTGGCATATGATTCTGTGAGGGCAGAGTCATACAAGACAAAAAAAGATGTATTAGCGGCGTTCGGCGCGGGTATTTTGGGGAGGATTGTTACCCGAATAGGACCAAGAGCGCTCCCCGAGCAGTAGTTTTTTTTTAGTTTTTTTATCTTTCATGTTATTTCCCATGGTTTCTGGGAGTAAATGATAATGAGACCAATGAAACAAAACAGATCCAACGTTCCTAGTTGTTCCCGAAGCATACAAGGCAGTTCAGCTGACTTTGCAACACGTCTCGGCCGGCTTGGGTTGACCAATGATGTTTTTAGCATACTATGTGCAACTTACACTGCCGTTGTATGCTGTGCTGGAGCAATACAGTTTCTGGAGTCAGAAGCTCTTGGCACTACAATTGAAGGGAGGTTTGGTAATTCTATGATAGAGCTCGCGTTCCCGACGCCCAAAGTCTGCAGCTGCCTCTATGGCTCGCCGTTAACAGCTGGTTAGAAGGGCTTCTCGGAGTGATCCACGCGCCGAGCAAGGGCGACGCACATTGTGATCCGGCATTGTTTTTGGAATTTTGAAAACAATGATACGCAATAGGGGGTCATCAATCTTATTCGTGCCCGCACAGATCCTGAAAATCTTGTCATTGTGTCTATGAAATAGTTGGCATTCACATTGGCCGAGACTGAACGTCGCAGGGGCTACTTGTCAATGCTTGTCCCTTTTAGCCTCACCGAGCGACGTATTATCGAACAGAGTGACTGATTCCCAATTGGTAAATGGAACGATTCAGCAGCTGTTGTCGCGGTTATAGTACATCCAATCTTTTCGTGGTGTGGTGGCCATGCCGGTACATTTTGACTAGCTGAGCAGGAGAATGGTTCGCACATTCAACGGGAATGAACCAGCGACCGAAACGGGAGCCAAGCATTACTGATAATGAGTGCGTCTGATGCCGGGAAAAAGGGACGATCGGGCGATGGCGCCCATTTGCTGCCGTCTGCACACGTCTGAATACGAAACGACAACATTCTGGCATGAGCACCTGCAATTATCCCACAACATCGAACGAAGCTGCAGGTCTGCTACGTGGTGCGCACCACTCACAGCCCTTCCCCTCGCTGTTCCTAATTTCGACTGAATACGGTACCTTCTCATGCTTCTGGTCCCTCCAATGAAGGGAGACATTGAGCTACGGCTCGAGCTCCGGCACACGAGCCAATGAACTCATCCCACCGAAAGACGCCACGTGCATGAAGTCCAAGGGCGTGTCACGTCAACCCTATATGTGCGTGGGTGGCTCCCAACGAAACTTCTTGCTTCTGGTACACTATGATACCGTGGTGGAAGGCTATGCGGATATCGTTGATCTGTCCTGCGACCATCAGGCTGGCTTGACGCAACTACTCGGAGACAGAGCCGTCAAACAGGCTGGATTTGGTCACTGCGGCTCCGTCACAGGTGCGGAGACATCACACCCCGACACCGTTTATCTTCACGTCATTAGGTCCGTCTTCCTCGGGATCTAAGCTCGACCTACTCAGGGAAGTCTGCAAGTGGATACTCGGCACCTGCTTTGCGGCCTGCCACGAACAGAAGGGGAAATGGAGATATCTGTGCATGCTGCGTAGTCATTAATACCTAGATGTTGTCACCAACAGCACGGCCATTGGATGATGATCGGCGTGCCCACGTTTTGATGTAGACGTCAGATCAGTCGGGCGCATCATTGTGCAGGGTCTTCCCTTGACAATCACATCGAGGGGGTGTCGATAAACTTTCGAAAAAAACTTACTTTAGCAGTGCTGTATTACGGAACCTTGACAGGTGTCTGGACGAGAGTCTTCTACCCTACGGGCTGCTCACTGATCGATGGGCGAAATGGGGATCCTAGGGTTGTAGATGCTCCCGTACCCGGATCGGTCCCAAAGTTGTCAGTGCTTCCCCCGGGCCCAGTTCTCAGTTCACAGAGACCGTCAACCTTGTTGCTCGGGTCTGCGCCAGGATCAATGAGGTGGCATTGCCATTTACCAGGGGGGGTATCTCTGATAGAAATATCATTGAATCCGATTTCTATACATAGTACGCACTGCCTATACACGCACGACAACCTCTCGGTCATCCTCTGGCAAAGAGCACTCAAAAGTCAATCAGAGCCACTATAACACATCGGCCCCGCAGACGATGCCATTTGTTTATATGCCGAAGCTTAAGTTGTCTTGAAGAGCCCGAAACGCCCGCTGTCAAAGCTGGGCGATCTATCCTGGGCACATTGGGGAGTCGACAGAATAACCCAAAAAGGCCTTCAGCAGCCAGCAACAAGGAATTGCCCTGAACAAGGCCATCTTAATATGTGCTCATGCCGCTTAGCCGCCGCCAATTGCGTCCACTGAGGCTGTAATAATACGAACGCCTCCTGACCATGTGACAATCAACGAAGCTTCCGGAGTACAGACCATCGGTGTCAGCTGTCGCCGGATTTCTGACTCTTTGCCTCCAAGCTGTCGCCCAATCCTGCTAGGCTTCCTGAGACAACGCGCGCATGAAAAGCTATGGTCCTGCACTTCTAGACTTTTCCAAACATTGTGAATCTACCATGCTGCGGCTTGGGAAGATCTGCTGCCCATCAACGTCCTAATAATGGCAACGCCTATTCCCCCAGCCTACTTCGAGCTAAGCTGGTCGATACTCAGCACCATCGGTGCCGCAAACGTGCTGTTCGGTCTTCTCGTCATCGGCATAACAAGCTTTTCGCAGATCACCGTGGTCCCTATCGTCTCATCGGCTGCCGGCTCTGTCGCGAACGGCCTTTGTTTCTATGCCTTTTATGACCAGAACCACTCACTCAAGAACAAGGCGACGGCCTCGGCATTCGGTGATGTCTTCTGGATGGTACACATTGGGCATCTCTGTGGTTGAGAGAGCATAGTCTAACACAGCTCTTCAGATCCAAGAAGTCGGCCTGTCATTTTACAGCTATGCCCTCCTCCGGAAAATTCTAAAGGACAGGATGTGGAAGGTCTTCAACACCCTTTTCTGGGCGACAGTTCTCGTCATCGTCGCTGTCCGGATCATGATCGCCGTATCACGCGTCAGATACATCCTCAAGGGTAACACCAGAATACAAGACACCGTCAACAGCCTCCACGTCAGCTATTTCGTCCTCATTGCATCACTAGAATGCCTCAGCGCCTTCTTCCTGCTCAAGACGTTTACCCAAGTCAAATCAACGTCGGATAGGGCCGCCTCGAAAGCGGGATTTTTCAGGTATCTGATGCGCAGTACCGAGGTTCGCCTTGCCACGCTGGCCGTTCTGGGAACGATGAGAGCGGTCACGTACTCCTTCCAGATGACGGCCCAGAGCGCAACAAATGTAGCTAGTCAACTCGACCGCTTCGCCTACGCGCTCGAGTGTCTCTTCCCGTCTGTCATGTTGTATGCTGTCTCATGGTGCGATCCTAGCTGGCCGTATTCTGTTGCTGACACGCCTAGCATCGACATATTGGCATCTAAACTGGTGTTCACGGCGCAGGGTTACGACCCTACCCAATCAAGACGTTCGTATCTGAGAGGATTTAGCTCTGCCGTAAAATTGGGCGAGAACTGCTATGACGGTACGCAGCAGAGCGAGCGGTTGGTCGAAATCCACGGTGGGAGAGGGAGCTCGCAAGAGAATGCGTCCAGCCCTAGTCCGCCAGGATCTGTTGCTGATCTCCACGGCGGAGAGCCAGGATCCCAGGGAGGAATCAACAAGACCGTTGTGATCAGCGTGAGACATTCGATAAGTAGTAGCCCGAACAGGCCGAGACATTGCCTTACTTTACCTTGAAAAAATGTCTGTACAGTATTGATACTCTAAACATGCATGGTCGACAACTAATAGTGTGAAGTTGATGGTGAGAACTACAATGATGTCCGCTCGTTCTTGTGCAGCGTTCTTTATTCGATTGTCTGGATCTTTCTATTATTATTATTTTCGAGCACGTTCCCGGTCGAGCAAAGTCACACTGAGTATGCCTGTACATACTTACTAGTTGTAAAGTCCCATAAGCGGCCAGAGTGATATGATCTAGGCGCCCGGGGTAACTGATAAGAAACACTGTGAACAGTCAGGGGAGTTGTGAACTGACAGGCCAGCACCTCTTCAGGGTTTGTTCAGTTTATTCGAGCTAGACCTTGGCACTATAGTCATCCAAGTTGTTCAGCAAGCCGATAACGATGATACCAGATCACGAAGCTTCGGTTACGGAGATAGCGTCGTCTACGATTCAACACGCAACCCTAAGTTGTCCTAATGTTAGCAATACTTCAAGACGTTTTCTATGATGGAAGTGTTAGAACCCCCCCCCCCCCTCTTTCAAAAGGCAGAACCGTTCAAGCTACACCCAGCAAGACAGGTCATCTTCAGACCGTGGTCTCTTGTCATAAACATGAGAGCCTAAGATTATATTGATAATATGCGTGGTTCGGGCCTCCTGCATAGTTTATAGATTATATATATGCAGAAGCTTGTCGTTCTACACAAGCACTTGGTATCCAGAAACACAAGTCAATTTAGGCGTATTTCAGGACGGAACTTGAAGATACTTACGGTGCCCAAGATAGCATAGAGTACCATTGCGATGTAGGGGCCATATGAAGCGTTGGACAGAATATGCATTAGTGAGTGCTAGGCTTTGGACGACGGCTATGAGAAAGCTGCCATCGGAACCTCATGGTTGGAGCGTCATGGTTTTGACCTCGTCACGTGCTATATACCATCCTTTATACTCACTGGTCAAGTATATAGAGCAGCTAAATTGTTCAACATTCTTTTTTCAGTTACAGAAGCAAGAACTCTCCGCCCCATTTCTTCTACGCCAGGTTGTGTGCTCTAACTAGTGATAAAAGCCTTATGATTAGTTCAAAATTCACGGTACCGCAGCAGGTTGAAGATGGGCTGCTTCATGTGACTACGTATCGGGATTACTGTTTGTTTGAATTCTGCGGTAGTCAGACAATCGTATGAAAGGAACCGGAACATATGCTGGTATTGAATGATTCATCTATAAATAACCTTTGCTCTTTTCTCTGCTATGATAGTACATGTTTTAGCAGGATGTCTTCCCATAAACACATTCAAATCCCACGTTGGGGACCCAACCTATTTACCAAGTGACGGTAGCAACCAGCCACGCTCCTGTGAAAGACGGTCGAGCTCAAGCCGGAATGGCCTGCATAGCTAATGCCGGTGACCCGCGAACCGACTCGACACTTAAGCTATCTATGCAGGGTACGTATTAAGGGTGTGCACAGAGCTCTCGACAGTGTGCTAGGGGTTCAGGAACGGCCTTCTTATCAGATGGTACAAGCGCTCGTCCTCAGTGAACCAGCCACATACACCTTTGCCCCACAGCAGTCGTTGTGTGACCGCAGTACACGTTTATGGATTGACGCCATGGTGCGATGGTGATGGGTTCGGTGTTCGGGTCGGCAAGGTCTCGTCAACTCTATTCCCGACTTCGAAGCGCGCAGTAGCAACTAACCAGTTAGTAAAGTCACTTCTAAACAATAGAACAGTCGCCGCAAACCTATACCGACACCTCGGACCACTTGATAGGGATCTCACGCCAACCCCGTCGATGCAGGAGGGGACACAACCGGCAGGCCGCGGCAAAACCAGAACCAAGAAGGCTCCCAGGCCGTCCTCAAGCTCAGGCGGGGTGTCCCGGTTTGACCTTCCACATGGCCCTCCCCCTCTCGGGCCACGACGCCCTCATTAAGGTTGGCCCTATGCTCTGAGAAGGTTGAGAACGAATGGCCAGGCTTCATCCAAACTCTGGAACACGCACCTTTCTGACCCTGTCCCTCTCCCGTCCGGGTTCCCACTGAGCTTCCCCCTTTTCCTGAGGATCTTCTGCAGCTCCCCCCTCATCTCACGGATAAGCTTTCAGACACCCTGGACCGCTCAAAGAGAGATAGCGTCTAGATGACTGATGCACTTACACCGTTATGGCCCTGTCCGCGTCGCTCACGTCACATGTACCCCTCCTTCAAACCCAAGATAGCGGGTGGAATCATGGAGAAAAACTTTGGCTACCTTCATGGGGGGCTTATAAGTCCATGTGCTGGCATCTGCCACACAGCCCAACCTTTTCTTCCCACCCGTCTCACCTTCTCCTTCACGAGCGCAGCTCACTATCCCTCGCACGTCCTGACAATAGTTCGGCTGAGCCACCTTATCTCACCTTTTGGACATCAAGAACCACTCCGCGGACCATAGTCTGCGTCCAACCGACATCACCCACCGACAGAGACGAAAGATGCACCTCCTGACGCTGGGCCGGCTGGCCATCCTCCTCGCGCCCGCCCTCGTCCTCGCCCTCCCCACCCCCAAGGACGCCAAGTTCTTCAACCCGTCCGACGACCCCTTCGTCACGGACCTGGGCAAGAAGACGGGCAGGATCGGCATCGACATCGTGGACCCCAGCGCCCTGCGCGTCGACCCTGTTCGCGTGTTTGAGAACATCGCGCGGTCTCCGAGCGAGACGGCGTGGCTCACGAAGCGGCGCGACGCCGCCCCGCTGGAGGAGAGGGAGAAAGAGGAGTCGGCGGCCGCGGGTACGGCGATGGACGAGGGGAAGGAGGACATCAGGGCCTCGAGGCGCGCGCACGTCCAGGTCGACCCGGTAGAGGTGGACGTGCCCGTTGTCCGGCCGTCGCCGATGGTCATGCCGGCGCACGCGCGGCAGCCGCAGGACACCGGCCCGACGGGAGACATGCCCAAATTCAGACCCGTGTATGACGTCGGGGAGTGGGTTCGTCATTATTGAGAAGGCGGGAAAAAGAAGAAGAAGAAAAAGAGAAACGTGGGGCGGCCGCGGTGCCTCCCAATATGTTCAGAGTGGCTGTTGGGACTGACTGAGCAGTCATGCCCGCAAAGGTCTGCAAGGTATGGACTTGATGGGGAGAGGTTCTCGGATTCTCGGAGTGTTACCTGGCGGGACTGTCGCTGTCGCAAACGTTCGGTATCGTTCGAGGATGGAGAGGAGGCGCATGACTTGGTTTCATCACGCTCGCGTGGGATTTCAGAGCGGAAGCCTGGATGGATATGGATGATGGCTCTCGCTTTCAGGGAGAGACTTCTCAAGGTTGGTGCCATTGTGCTCATCAGTCGCTATCGGCCTTGGACAAACGAAAAAAAAAAGGAAAAGATACCAAGGATCATACGTGCGAGGTTCCGTTATCAAGGCACGGGCGTGCTGGTCTCCCCTCATTTGTTTGAGGTTTTGTTATCTACAACACGATTCTGTTCATAAGCTCGTTAATTAAAATACAACTGCATTCCTCGAGGCTATACAAAGCGGGTTGACAGCAGAGAAAAAAAATTCCATGACTCATTCAGACGGGAAAATTGCCTGTTCCATGTGCAGGCCGGGACCAAGGTATAAGGGTATGCATCCGACGCCAATGATATGCAACCAAGAACAAGCTAGACGCCCCTTTTCCGACCGATGACCATTACAAGCCAACCTCCAACCCAAAGCGCATTCATATTAACATGGTTGTCTGACATTGCCTCCCGCTCCAGGCGTTTCGTTGGTCAGGCTTAGTTAGTTAGGGACGGGCAAATCCTTGTTTCGCCTACACGATAGTGTCAGTTGCTGTCTTGGTAGAAGACGCGGATTAGGGGCGGATGACTAACCTTCATCTGTTCGATTCTGGCTTTTAGTTGGCTTGTCACTTCGGCAGCACGCTTCCAACTTTCCACGCCATTGCTGCTATGGTTGTTCGATGTCATACCGTTTCCTCCGCCGGACGGGTATGAAGGTGGCGGCATGTCATCAACGGGGGTGGCCACGTTGCTCCGGTAGCCTCTAGCAGGGCTGCCGCGGCCAGATGATGCACTGCCTGTATACCTGAGTTCTGGGCTGAGGGCCTTTGAGCGAGGGTAGTGGTGGTCTCCATTCTCCTTCTCCTCGGACATGTTGCTGGCGTAGCTAACGCGGTTGTGTCTGGCAGAAGATGAACCGAACGAAGCGTCGCGGTAGACGCCGACGTCGTCGTATGTCGGTGAAGTGAGGCCTACCATAGAGTTAGTCACAAGATGATGGTCAGAAAAGAATGCGTATGTTGGCTCACCGGGGCTGGCCATACCCGATCTAGAGTTGAGGCCCTCGGCGTGGTTGAGCGCCCTCTTGAGGCGGTCAAGCTCGCGTCTAAGGCGGTCGTTGGTCTGTTCCGTGGCCTCGGCATCGCTTCTTGCGCGGACCAGCTGTGTTTCCTTGGCCTTGATGCTGAGAACGTCGCGAGTGTGGTCTTCGATGAGGCCCGCGTTCTGGTTCTTGAGCTCCTGGATCTCAGACATGTACTTGCTCCTCTCGTGACGCATCTCTTCGACTTGGCGCGTGAGGCGCTCATTCGCAGCCCTCAATTCCTCCAGCTCGGCCCGCTCCATCGCGGTAAGCCCATCGGAGGGTGGTGGCGACGCAGGAGGCATTTGCACAGGGGCAGCAGCAGGCTTGGCAAGCGAGCGTCCGGCAAGGCCGCCGCGACCGAGACCAATGCGAGGTTGCGGTGGGGGAGGGGCGGGGTCGTCTTCGGGCATGATGGGAGCAGCTGCAGGACGACGAGGGGAGGCGGCGGAAGGTGCCCCAAGAGGCCGCTTCGACTTGAGACCAGCGAGACCCGATGGCTTCGGCATGCCCATCTTGGTGCCGGCTGGCTTGGGACGGGAGGAGGCTTGCGGAGAGAGGGGCTCGGGATCGTCTGGCGGGGGCGCAGCTGCTGCAGGCATTACCGGCTTCTTCATGGCCGGCTTCTTGCCTCCGACGAGCTTCTTCGGGGGCGGCGCCTTTGCTGCTGGAGGAGGCGCCTTAGGCTTCTCCTTGGCCTTGACTTGGGCGGTCTCAAAGAACTCCTTGATCTTGGTTTTGCGGATGTCGTCGAGGCCCTCCATGTGCGGGCCCATGCCACGCTCGCCAATAATCTTCATGACGGTACCCAGAATCTCGGCACCACCCGAGCGGAGGCCCTCGCTGGACTCGGACAGCAGCTTCTTGCCCGACTCGACAATAGAGGCGATTTCGGGCTTGCTGGGAACATCTCGGGTCGTCCTCAGACAGCGAATCAGGAACTTCATGGTGCCCTCCTTGACCTGGGGGTTCTTGTGAACGAGGTACGTGTTGATGTCCTCGAGACAATCTGTGAGGCTCGTCGCCAGGAACACTTGGTCCAGAGCGGCGCCCAGAGCGTCCGCCACCGACGCTTTCTTCTCCTTCAAGCGGTCCATGATGGGCTGCATGACGGTGGCGCGGTGCTTCGCGTAGCCGGATCTCAGACCTTTGGCCAAGACCTCGATACATTGCGCAGCCTGAGTGACGACGGCAACGTTGGCATCCTTCATGCATTTCGCGAGCCCGCGGTTGATCTCGTTGAAATCGCCGTCCTTGATTCTCGGGACGTTGATTGCAGCGTAGAGTCCCTCCACCGCTTCCTTTCTCTCCTTCCACTTGGATGATGCCAAGGCCTCGTTGAAGTTGGCGGGGACCTTTCCAAGCACGTCTTGGGGTTCTGCCAAGTCGAATGCGTCCATCTCGGCCGGCTCCTCGCCATAATCTCCGTCGTCTTCCTCCTCCCCTTCGGCTCCTGGAGGCGGGGCGCGGGCCATGGCGGCTTGCTGTGAGCGCAAGAAGCGTTCTTGCTTCGGGGCGGGTTCGGACTTGATCTTCTCGAATTGGGCCTCGAGGTCGGTCTGTTGCGTGGGCTTCAGGTCGCCCCAGAACATGGGCTTCATGGCCTCGCGCAGCCACCTGTAGAATTCGACGGCAAGGTTCGTCGCGGCGGCGCGAACATTCTTGTCGGCATGACCGAAAGCCTTGGGGAGGGCCTTCAGAACGGGTTTTGGGTCGACTGTCTTGCAGCCATAGCTGTGGTAGATGGCCGTCAGGGCGGTGATGGCGGCGGCGACGACCTTGGGCTGCTTATTGGAGAGGGCGGGGATGATCTCTTCAATGACGGGGCCAGCAACGTCGAGCTCGACGAGCAGGAGGAGGGCTTCCAGCGACGATTCTTTAGCGGCGGCGCGGGTTGAGGGTAGGCCCTTTTCGCATATAGGCCCTATCGTGACACCGCGCGTCCTTGTGCAGTGTTCCTTGCCGCCGAATTTGAGAAAGGCACAGTATGCGGCGAGACCCTCTTGTTGAGCGGCAACGTTGGAATCAGCGACGGCGCCTTTCCAGATGCCCGAGTCGGAAAGGAACGGTCTGAAGGCATTGTCGTACTCGTCGGCGGTGGCGGCGAATGCCTTGGCGGCCTCTTCGTAGGCTCCCTTTCGGACTTTCCACACCTAGAGGGCGTCAGCCGGCGGGTTACGGGGCGGCGCAAGGGGAGGAGCAGTATGATACCTTGTGGGCAAACCTATCCTGGAGGGGGATGGAGCTAAAGTCTTCTTCTTCGGCCATCAGGATGGAGTCTTTTTGCTGGGGCTGCGAAGGTTCGGAGGTGGTGTGCAAAGAGCAACGAGTCGGCGGGAGAGGAGGTGGCGAGTCGAAGGGAACCTCGTCCTTGTCGCGAGAGGCGGGTTTTCTGCTGAAGCTTGCTACTCGCCTGATTAGCTTGGAGAAGGAACGGGAATGCTTGAGGTGATGGCCCATGTTGGGAACAGAAGCGGGCTGAAGAGCTGCATGCAGGCGGCGGGAAGCAGCAGCAGCAGCAGCAGCAGCAATGACTGGAGGTGTCTATGGTGATATGGGCGGGACGTGACTTACAGTCGGGGACCGGGAGTGAGGAACAAGATTAGACGTTCCAAGATGGCCTAAGCAGCGGCGGGAGTATCTGGGTAGTTTAGGTCAGTGGACTGCTGTGCTGGTAGGTGCGAGCGAGACGGACAGGTATCTGGGTCGGCAGCGAAGATGGCAGACTTGGTTCCTTGAGGTTGTAGGAGCAGGAGTCTGGGGAAACAGGACAATGCGAGTCGAGGTATGTGCGAAGGTTCGGGTGGGAAAAGAATTGCGATGGAGGATCGCTGGGGAAGACTAGAGATGGGAGTTCCCGTAGCGTAGGTAGCGCGTCCGGTTAGTGTGCAGGTAAAGGTCAGTCCGGTCCGAGAGTTGGAACACTGGATGCGTGGATGTATGGATGTGTGTTTGTATCGTGTCGTGGGTATTGTGTGTATAGGTAGGAAAACGTGACTGGGGTTCCTATTTCTTTTGTTTGGCCAGCAACAGGAAGCACGGGGAAATTGTGGTTGTCGGGACAAGGGCGAAGGGGGGGGGCCAGAACAAGTGAATCATCAGACGTGTGTGTTTGTTGCAGCGCAGCCGACAGCGGGGTGGGGGTGGACCTGCCTAACCGCTGCGTAGGTACGGATACAGTACACTAGGTAGTGGCTGAAAGAGCGAGCGGCAGAGAGAGGCTTAAGCGTGAAGGTGGGCGGTCTGCATTGGGCACCAGTGTGCGGTTTTTTTTCTTCTTTTTCCCCCAATCCCCTTCTATTCCTTTTTTTTTTTTTTTTTTTTTTTTTGCAGTTATTTCTGACCCCGAACCTGACCTGACGGGTGTTTGTGTGGGGTTGCCTGCGAACACCAGGTAGTTAGGCACGATTGGGTCAGCGCAGGTCACATGATGAAACTGGAAATGTAGCCAATAGATAAGAGATGATACCGAATAAATGGGCTCATGCGCACTAGGCACTTGCACAGATAGATGTACCTAGGTACCTAGATACATTACCTAGGCAGGTAATGATCTCCTCATCTCAGTCCCCTCCTTGTCGAGACGTTGGGTTTAAATGAGCTGCGGTGGCTGCGTTTCTTCCTAAAGTACGGAGGAGCCTGTCAATAGTCCTTGCGGTTAATGCCAAGCCCACCCCATGAATCTAGACCCACTTTAACTATAATCTAGCCAATTAGAGTAACTAGATTAATCCCCTTTCTTTTTCTTAACTAGGGCCTTAGCAAGAGTAATTATTATAATAACAACAACAACAACAACAATAATAACACTACTTTTTTTACCTTATAACTATTGCTGTTATAGTGCACGTTGACCCTGTTATAT